CACAAGACTTGATCGGCCTATTCCGAACTCCGAGGACGCAATCTCTGTTGGGGTGTTAGTCTCGTTTAGAAATAGAAATCTGCTTGCAAACAGCTGAGGATGATTTCTCTGCTAACCTTGCGAAGAACTGAAAAGCTTTTCTCTCAGTCTCTGGGCTGTTCCTATGCCACCTTCTAGCAGCCTAACCTAGTATTAGTACCCCAGATCTGTCTGCTCTCTTACACAATAAGAGGTAATTATAGCCCAGCTAGTCAAAGAGATCTATTTTGTGGACAATTCAAAACAAAGAGCACGAGCACATAACCCTACAGAAAATCCATGAGGGGTTACAGATAGATTATATTACACTGAGTCAACGCTCCCTGGAATTAGCCGTCTGTTAATGTGCTATGCTTGCAAACAAGGAATTGTGACCACAGTGATCCCTGTTGATAAGTGGAGGTAGTGCACAGAAATCACATTATGTGTATGAAAATGGACCTCGCTCTGTGGTGATGCAGTTTGATGCATAGCCAAGCTACTGATGACCTGTGACCCAAATTCTTAAGAACCCTACCAGCTGCTAGATCATATGCATACACATGTGGACATTTTTCTCTGCAATTGCTTTCATAAGCACAGATATGCTATATATTTAAATAATTATTTAAAAAATCCTTATTGTCCTTTTCGGCCAAGTTCTTGTTTTGACTTTAGGGACATTACATTCCCTGCTGCCTCTTTGTTACCCTCTTAGAGCTGGGAGAATTCTGCTGCGACGTAATGTGTATGGAGTGCTGGCCCTCTCCTACCAATCCACTCTTTTCTTCTGCACCCTGCCGATGAAAATGTCTACCGACAGCGTATTAAATTTCTGCCTCCACGAGCCTCAGCCACAAGCTGTTTAAATTGTGCTGGTTTTCCTGACCCAGAGATGGCTGATGCGGTTTAGAAGCAAAAAAAAAGTGAAGTTTTTGGTGTGAAGCCAGTAACAGATACATACATTAACGCATGGTGCCAATGTAAAAGGACACCATATCCTTGTGCTTGCAAATTGGACAAACTGCAGCTCAGAGGTTTGAATCCCAGCTGGTGAGTGCCATTGGGGGTGAGAGAAGATTAAAAAATTCCCTAAAATTGGTCAATTGAAAATGTTATTATCCTAACCGTTGGAAGGAGAAAGCAAGTATCAGTCGTACCTTCAAGAGATTAATTTAACAGCAGTGCACACTGAAACCCCAGTGTTTGGTTACTTAAGTAAAACAAGTTCTTTGCTCAATGTTTCATCACTCTTACCAGAACTGACAGTAATCCCTTTCATGAATATACACAAAAGCTATTTTACTTTGTCTTGTTATTGAAAACATCCCCACTCTAAATCCACAGAATGTCATTCTCCAGCTTCTTAGGCAACTATAGATATGAAAGCAATCTGGGAACAATGTAATTATGGGATTAACATGAAGACGGGACTCTTGAGCATTGACAACTGCATTTGTTAAAATGCTGAGCTCTGTTCACAGCTTTTGTTTAGTTCTAATTAAGGGGAAAAAAGCAAATTACTTTTTTTTAACTCCTTTACATATTTAAGGTTTTAACGGAGCGAAGGCTCTTATCCAAGAACAGCTCAAGATACTCTTCCATTTAAAAACTAAACTGCATTTTCACCAATTTCTTCAACCATAGAGGAACTACACTAGACTGAGGACAACTTCTGGTTTCTTGGCTAGGAATTTGAGAATCACAGTTCTCTATATACAGTTTTCTGGAGATGTCCCTACAGCACGTTCAAGTACACAAAACTGACCGTTAGAAATATAACATTTGGATGAAGCGGTATATAATAACGCCAAGCAACCCAAGTCCAGGGTGTTTACACAGATCCATTGAGGCTGTTTCCCTTTTCATCACAGTGTAAATTCTTGTTTGGGTATGGTTTTCCTTTTCCCCCCGTTTCCCTGTATTTCTTTTTTAAAGTGGGTGTAAAAATGTAAATTGATGGGCTGTGTCGCAAATGGCTGAGCCAAAGAGCAGGGTGAACATCAAGATGTCAAGATGTTTCTAGGCCCATGGTTTAAAACTTCTGTGACTGGAGGTGCCCCAGTGGTGCAGCCCAGTGCCACCAGGGACGAGTGGGTCTGAATTGCCCAGGACACCCCTGAGTTGAGCAAGGGACTTTACCACAAATTGTTCCAATAAAATCCGCAGCTAGATAAATGGGTGGCAATGTAAGTTGCTTTGGGTAAAAGCCTCAGCCAGATAAAGTAGTGATAGATGTTCGCATTTGGCACCATCTAGAAGCAAATCAGCTGATGACACCTCCTCCCTCTAAACCTGCTAGCTTCCTCATAGGAGTGCGCTCAGACATGTTAGAAGGATAGATCTTTTTAATTAAGTGCCTTTGCCTAATGGGGAGCCTTCCTTTTTCCCACAAGAAAGCTAGGCTCTGACCTTCCCCACCCTCACTCATTCATTCTTGTTAATTGGATATGGATTTGTAAATCATTTCCTTTGATAAATGGGCCTCTTGACACTGTCTATAACACATTAGCATTTTCTCAATACTTTCAATACTTTTTTTATTTTCAAGCCTATTAACAGTGTTGCTCCTTTATTAACAATTCATGGACTACGCTCTGTGTGTGTAGGGAGATGTGGGGTGAAGGATGAGGTGTAAGCTACTGTTTAGCATTTACAACATGCAAAACATCTTTCATTTTACTTTTCCATAGGAAGCTTTAAGAAGTATACTGAATTGGTTTTTCAGTTGACCAAAAATACACAGGAAGGGTTTTGAGAGATGTCCAGATGAAGAGGGGAGTACATGCCTAATAACATTTGGCACGCACTTTACCTCTTCTAGTCCTGTTCCACAGTCTCAGACCAGATCCTTCGTGCTTGCCACGCTGGTAGATCAATAGTGTAAAAAAACAATGGCGGAAGAGACCTGCTAATTGAATGAGTTGTATACCAGCAATATCCTGAGTGCCAGGCAGGGATGAGAAAGGGGTTTTGAAGTAAAATTCCCACATGAAGGTGTAAATTACCATTGGAACAGAAAGGCAATGTAATAGAGGAATTGCAGAACAAGGTAGGAAAGGCCTGTCCTATTGATCAGTCTGTGAAGATGTTTGTAAACTGGCAATAATGGCGCCACACTCTATACTCCCCCATCAGATGGAGCTTTGACCTCCAAAGGCAATTTCTATAGATCCGCCTTGACTTTAAACCCCACTCTCTGGTACCAAAACCACTTAGGCTCCTGGCCTAGCAGTAACCTGACTCCTACCCAAAGGCCTCTTAATGCACATTTTATGGATTAGTTTGGGGCCTGGCTAACAACTCCTGTCAGAAAAGATTGGGGAATAATGCAGCTTTTATTACTCTTTTATTTAACTAAATAGACACCTCCTGTTTAATCTGACACTTTGCCTCTTCTCCGCACTCCTCCTCTCTGCGTTTGACCTCTGCCTAACAGCTGGAATAGTGTTGAAGGTAATTCTACATATTTGCTGGTCAATCCTAATCTGGTTTAGGAATATGGACCACGTCAGCTGACTGCACTCTGGTGGTGGGACTCTGGGAATGAAGACTTAGCCAAAGGCAAAAGGATGGTTTATAACAGTTCGATTTGAACTACTCAGGAAATAACACTTCCCTAAAGATCTTGTTGCTAGTAGCTTAATTGATCCAGCTGCTAGCAACGCAACTAAACAAGTAAGACAGGTTGAATGACCTCTTCTCATTTGTAAACTTTCATATGTAATTGATGACATTTGACTGGCTGAATGCAGTACTTCACGTTTACCACACATCTCTGATCTATGTCTTTACTTATTTTAATAAGCATCGACATGGATTATAATAAAGGCAGTGGGCTGCACTGACTGGTAGCTACCACTGGTGTCCAGATACCATGAAATGACAACTACGGCCATCTGCGGTAAGTCTCAGATAACTTTCTCTGAACTCCTGAACTTATTTCTCTAATTCAAAGTAAAATAATTTATATTACCCATATTCATTACCCAGAAATGGCAAAAACATCAGCTCCAGTATACTCTTAGGAAAGGCCGTATGGAAGCTTTTTAAGGAAATGTCTACAACTTTCTGTTGATTTTACATATTTATTGCTGTTTTATTAGCATCTGCCAGTACTTACGAACACCGGGTGCTTGTTTGTAAGATATAAGGCTTTGAACTTCCCGGAAAAATTGATAACTTAAAACACTTGAACTCAGCTCTGATGACAATCTTTCACTTGTCAACTTGTTACAATTCCTACTCCTTATTTCTGCCCTCTCCTGCTGTTAACAGTGATATCCCAGCTTCAGGTAACATGAAGTCAGAGGGAACCTGCAACAGATTTTGGACTCCTAGCCACTACTGTCATGTGATCTTTTATGGCTTTCAAAGACAATGGGCGTATTTTGCCTGTAGGTGGCATTACAGGATGTTGTATTCAGCAAGCATTTTGTTTCACTCGCATCCCAGCTAATCCGATCTTCTGACAATTCTGAAAACAAAAACATGAAATGAAAACAAAAGCCTTCCATTACTTCAAAGTGGACTGTATTCATCTCTGATGTCCAAAATGGTAATGCAGAGGCTCAGTATTAGAATGAACTACAGCCAGCTGTATCAGGCTTCGAATTTTGAAATTAGAAAGGAACATTGATCTGATATCTGATAAACTGATTCCTCGATTATAATCATTCAAGCTACATTCAATTATCTATTCATATGTCCCAAGACTTTTGTGATAATGAATAATACTGTATAGACAATGTATCATAGGAAGGACAGGACAAGGAAGCTGACTAGTCCTCTAAGCAGACACTTCATAGTAATTTAACACTGGACCAACTTCACTTCTAATAATACAATACCAACATGGTTTCTGTAAAGATGAAATTTTCTGTTCACCTCAGCTGGGAAAATATGAGATGTCAGAGAGGAACAAAAGCTAGTTCCTATCAAGAACCAGATAAGAAAAAAAAAATCAAGACACTGACAGGTGCTCAAGATTTATGAACCTTTAATTGATGTCAAATGTAGTTTACAAACGGGAAAGACACGTACCATTTCAGAGAATATACATGACACACATCATCTGACACAACTCGAGAAACCACCTTGTGCAATTTGTCTTCTTTGGGGGCAGGTTTCATTAATTCCCTAGTAGTAATTATGGCAGAGGAAGTAAGGAGATCTCAACTCTCATGAAATAAAAAGAAAGGGCTACTGCATTTTTCAAGTATAATCAGAAATTTGACCATGTTTGTAAAAGCTACCCAGACCGCTTCGCCTCCTCACAAGCAAATTCATACTCACAGGGCACAGAGCTCCGAGACATTGTCCTGATTGGAATGACCCAAGTGAAACAAGGATGGTCCACAGTATCCAAATGCAACAAAATTAATCTCCAACATTTTCAAATGTTGCAGTGCTCAGATATCTGTGCAAATGCACGACTAAAAGGTCTTCATCTTGAGATCAAGGAACATTTTAATTTTGAACATTTACGTTGTCAAACGTTTGCCATCTGGTCCCACGTTCAGCACAAGCCTTTCCAGCTCACTCTAAGAAAGCAAAATCCCAGCCTCAGTCATATACGTGTTCGTAACTTATGAAGTTTTCTAAAGAAGGCCTTTTAGCATTTAGTCCCCAGAAGAGGCTGGAGTGTTTAAATACTGCTGTAACACGCAAGTTAACAAAGATGCAGCTAAGAAGCTGAGAAACTATTTCAGTAAATGTTTTATTTATATAAGTAAAAGGTGAAGGTACATCTTCACAGAAAATGAAATGGGAGAAAAGCACACTTCGGTTACAAATTCACTTGGAATTTTACAAATGTGATTTTGGAAATCCAGTTCTTTTCACAGCTCTTGCAGGAAGTCAGTCCTTGGTGGTCCACCCAAAGGTATGTGCCATTAAAATTCAGTTTGAAGAAAGCAACCACAAGCACAAAACAGCCACAAATTTGTGGATATTTTTTCAAATTAAGCTGTAGTGGGATTTCGTTTTGAAAGCTATACCCTTTTCCTGTTTTAAAAGCTTGCTTACTGATTTTTTTGTCCAGAATGTCTTTGATTGCCACCTTTGCCATCTCAAGAGATTAGAAGGGCGGCAATCCCAAATGTTCTTGGAAAAAAAGAAAATCGCGGAAAGTTCTTGACAAATACACACGCTTCTGAAGAAGTGAGGGCGCAGTATCCCCAAGTAACAAGGATGACCAATCAACTACTGAATAACAACAGTAAGAGGCTACATCTGAGGCCCTAGATACCCTTTCTCAACATCTGATACTTAAAATATATATTTTTATACAGCATGGACCTCTGATCTCTTTTGCTTACATTGAAACAAACATTATTACAGGATACATATTGTTTTACAGATACAAAGCACACTGTTGCTCAACAAAACGCTACACAGCTCCTTCAGTACTTCTGCAAGTGGTTTAGTGACCACGCTGGCTGGGACCAAGAGCCTCACCATCGCAAAAGGCCAAGGTTTGTGATTTTGTACTGTACTTTAGCCTGCAGAACTACGCTACCCCCAAAGCAGACAGCACACCTGCGAACTACTGCAGAACCACAGACAAAACCTCCTTCCCATTGTGTGTAGATGGTAGCTGACCCAGGCTGGCTTCAGTAGGGGAGTTTTACAAAGTACCTCTTTTTCTCAGCTTTCACTTGTATCCTGGGATTTTGCTGCCTGACAGAATAAAGGAATGATTTTTTTTTTTGTTTTACAAAGAAGCCAAAAGGTCATTTTCAAGGGAAAATCTAACAATGTTCTGTACTATTATGAATTTACCTAGCAAATGGTAACAATATTATTCTAGAACTGATACACAATGCAATTACATGGGCACAAAATAAAGGTAAACCAAGAGGTTTCACACCCAAAACACTCTGAAATAAATCTTTAAGAGGAACCTGATCAGTGACACACTGGTCAGAGGTGAGATATCCTGTGAAGATAATGAATCAGAACTTTTCAATGTCTCCATCAGAAATGATATAAGCAAAGTAAACTGCTGTGACCAGCACACACAGAAAACAAAAGATCTTCAGAAACTGACCAAGTTTCTGAACAGCAGACTCATTCCATTACTGAACTGTATGTCTGCATGTTCTGTTACCTTAAACCTGTAGCATTCTTGCATCTTTAAAATAAGTGGTCATTTATGGAAGAGTGTGGCTAAAATGCATTAACAAGACATTGATTTTCCAATAAAAAGAGAACTTTTGACAGTTTTTACTTTATTCTGCCAGGGGTTTGATTTACAAATAATCTGCACACTACATCTACAAAGTCATTTTCGCCTGTTGTACCACCTTAAAAGTATGTTTAACTTAAGGGTATTTCATCTCTCCAAATCCTGCCCCCCACCACCAAACTACAGCTCGTTATCTTACAATGAAGAAAAATGTACACCACTTAATTCTGAAATGCTATTTTGAGTAGTAGCTTTGTTTATTATCAGGTTTCCTTTCTGTACAATGAAATACAACTCCAACCTCAAGAAGACAACAGCTGTTTAAAAAATACTGAGGGTTTCTTATTTACCACTTTGAAATGTTACCCCCTCCCCCCTTCCACATTCCAAATCTTCCCTCTTCCATACCCAACAAAACTGGACTTTATTAATACATAATTATATGTGTGTGTAGCGTGTTTTAATTCTATTCCATTTATACACAACATTGTAAACATACATAGAATATATTACATGTGCTTCCGCCTTCTCGTTGTGTTTATTCTTTTTAATTCGGTTGAATAATTACTCACTGAAACACCACAAGAAAAAAAAAAATAGGGGGAAAAATGAGAAAACAGGATTATCCCAAGGATGTCTCGAGGTTAGCAGTTTGGTTGAGAGCTCCATCCTTACGTCGTCCCCAGAAGAACCTCTTTCTTCATCGACTCTCTGGCTCAACGACGGCCTTTTGGAATCTCATGTTGTGGAAAGTGAACGTTTTTACAGGGAAAACAGCAGCAAAAGGGATAAAAAAAAACACCTGGCATGGGGTCAGCGCAGAGCGTTCAGCAAGACTGGGGAGAGGGCAGCGATGTTGTACCTGCGTGGTACCTTCATCTTACGTGGTCAAGAGTACAGCAAGTGCCAGGTATCTGTACCACCGCAAGCCTGGAGGAAAATAAGGTGAAGCAAAGGGATTCCAAGTGGACATGTCACAAAAAAGTCATTGGGTTCTTTTTTTTTCTGAGGCCTGTTCTGTATGGTCACCTCCTGCAGCGTCCATAAACCAGGCAGAGTCTAGGCTCTTGTTTAGTTTTAAGAGGTGCTTTTTTTCTTAAAAAAAAGCAAACAAACCAACGACAGCCACAACATAAAAAAAAAACTTGGCCTCAAATATAACAACAGCAAACAAAAAGAAATAAAAATCCATGAACAGGATGGAAGAAATTTTGGGGGCCAGTCAGAGAACTGCGTCCTTCACAAGTAGACACGCCTCAGGTCTCCGGGCGATGTGATGGTGTTGCACTGTGGGCAGAGCTTCTTGGCCCCCTGTGGTGGAAAAGAAACACTGATTAATCAATGGATTCATTTGGCCCAAGAACCCCACTTCCTTTTAAATGTGAACAGGAATGGACGCCTTAGCTTTCAATGCCCTTTTTTATAGAAAAGGGAATGTAAAAAAACCCTAGGTTATTTCACTGGCCTTCCCCTGGATGAACATAAACTGGAGTGAGACAGTAAAGCCAGGCCACCTGCAACACACATTGACCTTGGCCTAAATATGTTCCGATACTCCATTAGGTATCGCATCTAAGGAGTTTGATTAACTGCAAACACTGACCTGCTCTGCACAGGAGGGAATTCCTGTAGAGTTAAGCTCAAAAGGTTCATGCCTTCCTCATCTAGTTCAGTCTTTGCACAAGGAGTGTATCGTGCTGATAACGTGTGGACTTGGGGAGACTGAGAGTATAGACGAGGGCTGTGAGAGTACTGATATTGAATGAGATTTTCAGAAATGAGAACTTATATTCTCACGTCTTTAAAAAAACGTCTGGTTGAGATCCTCAGATCAATTAGTTACTACTAAATGGGCTAGATTGGTTCTTCACATTATTGCTACCAATAGGAAGAGGTTTTCAAGTCACTTTTGAAAACCAAGCATCTCTTTCCTCACGAAATATTCACTCCATAGACACAGAAATAAAAAAAAATTAAGATGGGTAGAAAATACAGTACAGTGTGTATCATCACTCAACAGAAAGGCGATATTACAAGTGTACATCATAAATCTCTGATACCCAATCTTAATTGAAAGCTAAAAAAAAGACAAAATTTATTGGTAAACTTACTCAACTTAGTGTTCTGCTTTGTAAAACAGCTCCGTCTGAAACGCACTGTGTACTGGCTCTTATTTACAGGAGCTCATCAAGATTAAATTGGACACTAGACACAAAAACACCCACAAGGTTTACGATTTGCACCCAAGGAAAATGAGGAAACCTATGAGCTAAACACTTCATTGTTTCAAAACCCAGTGTGTCTCAAGTTGCTGCTCCAGTCTTCATATCCCTTTCCAGGAGTTTATTCACTGTTGTTTGAATTTCTGCCACTTCCAATAAAGATCTCGTCAATAAAAAAGGGAAAGGAACAAGTTGAAAGGAAACAATTGTCTGTGTGGTCTCTCCTTCCCTCTCCTACCACACACAAGCTCAGACAAACAGGGCTGCAGCACAGCAGCGCCGTGTCTGCCACCGTAGGGTGCTCTGCAAGTCAAACAGCCATTGCCAGCAGGAAGGCAATTTAACTCCAGGCTCCTTCTTCCAGCACATTCCACTAGTCCACACCACAGCCCAGAAAACACTTAGCAGCCAGCAGAGCCTCTCTACAGCCCACTGGCCTAAGACGTGCTTCCATGTATGAATGTCTACAGACACGTATCAAACGTTCATTCACGGTCCCACATTGGGGACCAGAGAAGCGGCCTGACAGGTTTATCAATTAGGGACAGCTCTGCTTCAGAATTAAATAAAACACGTGTGGTACGCATTAATACTCACATTTTACTTTAAAAAGACCTAATGATTGAAACTTAGGTGATGCAGTTTTCTAAATCCCCTATAAAACGATGCAAACTCTTCCACAGGAGAATTGCATGTTTGCCCAAACACAGCTCGTACTCCAGTAACCCAGGAAAGCCCAAGATGTAATGGCCTCCTCATTTTGTTTGTGAGTGTGAAAGTATGGTAGGGGTTGTGACCTCGGCAATGAGCATTAGCTTTGCCTCCATGAGTGCAAAAATCTGTCAGCAAACACCCCGTCTCCAGCTTGCTTGGCCAACACTTGATCTACGGTCTTCGGGCTCTCTGCAGCTCTCGCACTCGGGTGCATAGAGGATTCGTGACTCCGGACCTCAATGGAGGCTTTGCCAGGCCTCACAGTACCCAGCCAGTGAACCCAGAAAAAATGAATCTCACGACAAGAGGTGAAGTCATATGGAAACATCACACAGCCTGGAAACCATTTATCACAGGTCAAGCAGCCCTGACCACAATAACAGCATTCTAATGGGAGTCGGCGCATAAATTACTCTCAAATGAAATACACGAGAGCAATGCCAAGTTCACTTTAAAGCTCACAAGATTAAGAAATGATTACTGCTGAAAGCTCAAAAGATGGGCACTTATGTTGTTTGGACTTTGATGTACGTCTTCAATACCAGGCCAGCTTGTACAAGACCACAGTGGAGTTGAGCCACCAGCTCACCAGGATTAACACCGCCCTCATGAAAAGTGCAGTACTTTTCATGAGGGCTGTGTATTTGGTAATGACCAAATACATCAGGAACTGAGATTCAGGTCCCTGGGATTAAGGTCTCACGTTAAGGACAGCAGCACAGTGTCCTGGGCCACCATACTGGGGACATGCTTAACAAGCTCTGATCCAGAGAGAAGAGTGCCACCTACTGGTCAAAAGAAAATGATATGATGTTTGAGATGAAAGGTTATCAATTGCTAGACCAGGCTTAACTGCATAATGAAGAGCAACTGAAGTATCCCTTTAGGATCTTTTCTAAGAAAGTAGTCCCAATTGTAGAATTCGTCTCTGGTAGGTTCCCAGTACTTGAGAGTGAAGGCTGTAGTCCTTCAGAAGAGGAGGCTGCAATCCTAAAATCACTTTTGAAAAGACAAAAAGTGTACCCAGGCATTCTGGGCTAAAATAGCAGCTGTAAGCCAACATCTTAAACCTGAATCCTGACATTTTGTAAATGATCTGAGCACCACCTGAACAGTATTCCTGATATTCCTATTGTAAGTATATGCTAAAGAAAAGGTCTTGCAAAGGTGTGACCAAACTGCACTGTCTACTCGTGCTTGCTTTTCCTGCTACTCCATTATCCTAATTGATTTTAACTAGTTGTTTATGACTCTCGAGACGTAAGAATTCCTTTGCTAGGTCTTCTTTCGGTACTCTTTGGGGTCTTGTGGCCAAAAAAACCCCCAACTATTTCTGCAAGGGCCAAGAAAAGGAAAAGGTCTCTCTTTCCCCTTATTAAAGAAATTACAGCCTTTCCTTCTTATAAAACAAAGGAGTTACCTGATTTTAATGAGAACAATGTACTGCGTGGGCTTCTCTCATCGTACACCAGCTGCTGCGCTCTATTAAATTCATAAAAAAGGGCAACAGTAACAAGATTACACGCATTTACTTTGATCAAGACGCAAGGAGCCCCTGCGTGCTGCTTTTATTGCTGTCTTCGGGCAATGTTTTAATGGCTACATTAGTAACAAGCTGCTGCAGCAAGCAGAAATTTCTTATACAACCCCCCTCCCTCCTCCACTCTTTCTTTTAAACAGTGGGCTTTGTGATAAAAAAAGAGCTTATTTAATAAATTGTATATTGGAAAACGGCTGGGGCTGTGAAACAGATGAGCGTTTTCTTATTAATTGCTTCCTTGTGTAGTAGCAGAATGTATTAGCGGATAATAAGAGTCTGCTCCCTGGGGGACAGGCTGAAAAGTAAGGAGAAACAGAGGGGAGCGAGGGAAGGCAGATCGGCACGAGTCAGGAAGATCAGACTCCCTGAGAAATCCATAAAGAGTCTGGGGCTTCTTTTAAGGGGTTTAAGGTATTCAGGAGGGCCAGATCTACAAGCTCCTTCCTGAAGAAATGTTGCCCAACGTAGTGGCCTCGAGGAGTGAAGACGATCATTTGTATGCAGTCCTACCCAGAGTGGAACCGTGGGATTAAGAAGGTATAAATATTCCTTCTGGGTAGTTCTGGATCTTGCTCCTGGACACGTTTTAGACTGAACTTCATTATCCACGCCTGTGCATATCAAATAAACTACAGGCCACAGCATTAACAACGGCCAACCTGACATAAGCGGTCTTAACATAACATTCGCCTAGTCCTGTCCAAGTCTTTACGTGGAGACGTGGAAACCTTACAGAAGAGGCCATTCCACCTGTTTGGCAGTTAATATCTAATTGATCAGAGGATCTCATGTAGTTTCTTCTTCAAAAAAGTCAAGTTACTGATTTAAGAAATATGGCTAAGTAACTTATTCCAGACTTCCAAGACCCTTTATGCAAAGAAATGCCTCTTGTTCTCCGTGTGAACATGTAGTGACCTGTGGCTCATGTTAAAGATCCTGAATACTTGAATCAGGTGCCCTTGCTGTCTGCTCTGATCAAGACCAAAAAGCTTCAGTCGACCAATTCCTTCAAACCTGCGAACAGATTTGGTTGCTCAGCTCTAGCATAATTCTGGACCAACAATCATTTTGTGGTGACCTAAACTCATTTGATTTAACGTCTGAGCTTTATATACCAACAGTTTGCTTCATTCGTTCTTCACACTGTCACAGTTTCAAAAAAAGTAAACGAGTCTTTCATAAGTCGCTTCTTCAAGCTTATGGTTGCTCCTTTTCTGTCTAGATTTATAATTTTGCTACCTGTATGTCATACTCTCCACATTTAATATAATCTGCCAGCAGTACGCCTATTTGTGATGATCTAAATCTCTTATTTTAATTTCACTTGTTGCTTCTACAGTGTTTGCTGATCCTCCTAATGTGGTTTCTCCTGAAAACTTCACTAGGTTACTAAGTTTATCTTGATTGCCTACTGCCTTGAATTTCTAATTGAAGATTAGAATATGAGGAACTTTCTCAAAACCCTTTGAAAACTTAAAAACATATTGTATACTTAGGCACCACATCGTATGTTCCATGTGCCCGTATTGTTTCTGCATGATCAGAGAACCTCCTTTTTAAAACCAAGTTGATTATCCTTTGCACTCTTTCTGCCATTCCCATGATCCCCTAGTTATGGAGATGATCATTTCCATAACCTTACAGTTAACAGAAGACTCATTCAAATCAAGAAAATTACATGATGCTCGAGTAGGCAGCAGGTGAGAAAGGAAGAAAATTGGCCCTAATGAGCTTGTCTTGATTTCAAGAGGACACTCCCAAGTCTCCTATCCCAGCTGAAACAGACATTATGTTGTATTCCAGGCTTAACAACGGGGATATCGATGAGTGGCAGGTAACTGTGTTTCGTTCTTAGGGAGTGGGTATTGGTTGTGGACTGGAACGCTGCATTTGTATGGCTTTTCCAGTAAGGAGATGCACTAAAACCCAAAGAACAGACCTTTCACAGAGACACTGGATAAGGAGCTGTAGGAAACACTTCCTTCTGGAAATAGAATCACACAGGTACTCTTAGAAAGTCCTACGTCCCCAGCCATTGTTAAGGTAAACCGGTGTCAAGAGTTTTAGCAGATCCCTGCTGTGCTGCCCTTGTTGTAGCATTTTTATCATACTCCACCTCTTTTGCATTATTTTAACTGCTTAGCCAAACTGGAAACTATAAATAAAAAATTAATCATGTATGCCAAAGGACCTTGTTGAAAAACCAGGGTGTATGCCCACCCCTTAAAGCTGACCTTAGGGGAACTCATCTTATTTTCACATGTGAGCACCCACACAGAAGGATCCTTAAACATTAAAAAAAACAATAAACGATTCCTATTCACTTCTGGAGTGGATCTGCTTGCCGCCGATACCAGAAAAGTTACTCAGGGGTTTAAAGCTTGCATTGCTTGGATGGCCTGACTGCCTACCAGACCGCATTCTTGCTTTTGAAAATAATCCCTGCGTAGTTCTGGAATTTCGCTTCAGTTTCAAATATTTGTTGTACTTCTGTGAAGCGGTGCGACATCTACAGTAATCCCTTCCCTCGTGTGTGACAGAAATGTCATTACTGCATACATTACACAAAGAGAAATCCTCCAAGAGCTCTCCGTTCTTAACTTGTTCTCGTTCTGAGTGGAGCTCCTGGTGCTTCACTTCTCTCCAAGACATGTTTTAGGTTAATGGGGAGACTTTAAATTGTCCCGCTGTATGCGAGTGTGCCCTGCAACCAACTTTCCCAAATATTTTACCGATATATTTCACGGGAGTCGAAGAAAACGTCCGACAAGTGATCGTTTTAACGAAAAGATGTGGAATTTGTGCTGTGTGTGAAGCTGCTGAAGTCAACAGCAAGGTGTCTTACCAGAGTCCGGAGCCAGCATTCCTCGCAGTGTACGTGCCAACACTGAATGGAGGTGAGGGGCATTGTGTAGGAGTCCTGGGAATCGGGGGGAGGGGGAAAAAAAAACGGTCATTAACGAAGGCCCACGATTGTGAAAATAAAACACCGAATGGATAAAATGAGCCAAAAAACGTAATCCCTGGAACTATATTTTATCCACGTTTCAACAGGCAACAACTGAGACTTCAAAACTGACCACAATCTGCAATCTGGCTGACAAATCTTAAAACATCCAAGTGCGTGTGGAGTTAGGAAAGCCTTACCCTCATTGGTGGCAGTAACTGTTTTATTCCACCGGAACCCATTAAGTATCCTCTATATAAACAGTATATGTTGAGCGGGAGTCTCTTTGCGCCCCGGCTCTCTGATTTGTTAATTTCGGGTTCCAGATTCTTGTCTTCAGCACTTGTTTGGAATCTCTTCCGCTGGAAGGAATTCAAAAGCAGCACTGAGCACAAGAATGTGGACACTAAAATCAGACAAGACACACACAGACACAAACAATATCAAGTGACACTGCAAACAAAAATACAGCATCTCGGGTTTAAAGAGCTTCATTACTACAGTTGACAAAATGTTTAATTCGTTGACATTTTTCCAGCTTTTTTAAAAGAGTGAATTTTTTTTTTTGACCTACTAGCAGCTTTGCCTACTGAATACACACCATGTTGCTGTTCCTCTCTTTCTCAGAGACACAAATATACTGATATCTGATTTTCCAACATGGTCTCTCTGGTTTAATCAAGAAACATGCGGTTGCTGAAGCCTTAATAACTTAACACTTGGATTTTAGAAATCCTGTGCTAATGAGCGTAACGCAAAATTCTACATTTAATTGTGATCAGTAATTTATGTCTATACATTTCATTTATGAGCTAAGTGCCAACAATCAGATAAATTATCAGGCCTTTTTTGCCCATTACAAGAGATTCCTGCAATACTCCAGACAGACACCAGGTGGAGCTGAAGGTCTACTGATACTGTGGAAAGTCCACATTTCAAATGCACTCTCAAGGCCCTAAAAAACACCCTGAAACTTTTGCAAAAATACTAAGAATTACTCTCTGCACCCTGTTTCACAAATGTACAGTTGTAACTATTTTTGCCGTGGGGGTTATTCAATGTTTTTAATGACATAAAGCCAATCTGGAGTTACTCTAGCATCTTTGATGTTCTTCTAGACAGACAGCAAAACATACCCACACATTCTTCAGACTCCCAGTTCTATCCAAGCAAAACTCCCACATCACCCATCACAAACAATTTAATACCAACAAAGAAAAGAGGCAGCCTCCTAAAGTAAATACAGGGACAGCAGGCAACAATGAATATCCTAACACCCAAATTCACCTCAGGCCTGCACTGCCCCTGCTAAGACTGATGTGCCAATCATTTAATTGCTTCTGTTTCAGAATGCCAAAGGTCACAGTACCAAGCCAGGCCTGTAAATAAATATAACTCAGACGTTCTTCTGCTCTTTAACAACAAAGAGAACAATGCATAGACCTTAGCACACTGAAACACTGTTTAAACTTTCGTATTACCTATTCACCACTGTTGCCCACCTTCTGAACAGCATGCAATTCAACAAAAGCAGCCAGGAAAGGCAATTTCTTACTACACACAAAGGCAATCAAACTCGAGAGCACAGTGTAGCTTAATTGTGTACAACAGTGCATCCCAACACTTCTTACTGCACAGTGTATGAAAGTATTCCATTAATCAAAATGCATCAGCCACAGGACAGTGACTTCTGCGGCTCTGCAATCATTACGCATATACCTCCACTTCTGCTGTGCACGTAAGATGTGCTTCTGACTGGGCCTGGAGCCTTCGTATATTCCTGTAGTGCCAACACACGAGACGGTTCTGTAGGAAAGGCAGGAGGCGGGACCTTACCATGCAGATGAGACACTTGTATCTGTCCCCCCGTGACAGCTGCCTCTCCAGCTCCCGGATACGAGCCTTTAGCGCTTCGAACGTGGTCACCGTCGAGTCCTCCGTGATCCTGCGGGGAAAGACCGGGCTTACACACGGGAAGCGACTGCTACTTCTGTAGCCAGCAGGGGGCGCTCACCCTGTGGTCCACGTGGGTCCTAATGCCCCAGTATGGCGACGGGGACACTATACTGCAAACAGGCACCGTCCTTCGGATGAGACGTAAAACCGAGGTCCTGACTCTCTGTGGTCATTAAAAATCCCAGGGCGTTTCTCGAAAAGAGTAGGGGTGTAACCCCGGTGTCCTGGCCAAATTTCCCATTGGCCCTTACCAATCATGGCCTCCTACTAATCCCCATCTATGAATTGGCTTCATCACTCTGCTCTCCTCCCCACTGAGAGCTGATGTGTGGTGAGCTTTCTGGCACATTATGGCTGCCGTCGCATCATCCAGGTGGGGCTGCACACTGGTGGTGGTGTCCAGAAAAGCGCTATATAAGTGTAAGCAATTATTATTATTATTATTATTATTACTTCTGGACCCAAGTTGAGAAAAACTGACGGCCCTCGCAAACTGCTAGTCTACCTTCACCCCCGGGGGGGGGCAAACGCAATCTACTGCTACCGGTGAGGACACATGGTTCCAAACCGCCGTCCACACGTGCTTCCTAGAAACCAATGGACCTGCACCATCGGAGCGGCCAGATTCTGACATCGTGGGCCAGTTTGGATTATGTCCAGCGTCTCTGCCCCCTCGACACACACAGCTCATTTCAGCCAGCAACACCGAGCTAGGTTTCTTTTAAATCAGGCCAGCGGTGGCTTATCATCTTAATCTTCATATTGCCTTCATTTCCGTGTGTGGATGCTGCGGTGTTTTATAAACTGACAATATCTGGAAGGCACAATTTATGCTAGGTACAGTAACAGTACAGCTCATCTGTGTTCCCTTTTAAGATGGAAAAGGGGGTCGTGGACAATCTCTCAGAGGCGGTACAGTGCTCCACCAGCTTCTCCCTCAATTGACAAAGAGATAAGGGCTGGCATTTAGATCACAGAATGTCACCACCCAGCAACTGGCTTTCATGCAGGAAGAGGAGCCAGACTGAGAAGAGTAGACCGGTGTCCCACAGGGGAAATCTGCCTAACTAGCTCATTAGGTTGTTAGTAACTATTATGAAAATGTCGTATAAATATTTACTGAAAGAACCCTGGATATTGACTTTAACACCACAGCTATGTACGCCTGTTGCATACCCCCACCACCCTTTGTGAAAAGATCCCTTTCTGTTCTTGGTTTTTAATGCACCTCCTCTATAGTTTCTACTTTTCCCCCTTGGGTAGTCTTTCACTGATGATTCTGAAGAAGCCCAATCCACTCCAACATTAAAATGATTCAGTTCTTTAAGCCAGTCAGTTCTGGACATTTGTCTAAGCCTCGAAATGCGCCTGCTCATTCTTCTTTGGACTGATACCAGAGCAGCAATATCTTTTCTATAACACGATATCCAAAAACACACACAATATTCTAATTGACGTTTTACTAGTTGCATTGAAATTGTACAATGCACTCACATTCCTTGATTTAAATTTTATACCTTAACACTAGATATCCTAACATTTATTTTATTGCTTCAGCACAGCCGGAAAAAGGACGGTCATAGGCAACAGACACCAAGATCTTTTTCACAAGTAGCTTCTTTAGACTGAGTGTCTCCCATCGGATATCTACAGTTCATGTTTCGTAACCAGCATGTAACACTCTGCAGTTGTCTACATTACATAAAATCTGGTGCCCTATCTTGAATTTTATCCAAGTCTTTTTGACTTTCCGTTAATGCTAGCTTGAGTGGGTGGGTACTACAGTCATTTTCCAGTCCAGTCTTGTCCGTTATTGACTTTATAAAACATTTTGTAAAAGTAGTAGCAAGTCAATCACTGCAATGAACGGGGACGATAAAACATCATTCACCACAGTATATTTAAATACTACAGTAACACACATTTATTGAACATCATGCAAAAGGTTGTCCCTCCTGATGGATATCATATAGAAATATCTTTAGGGGGCTTGCTGATACAACTGGACAACGCCAATAAAACATCTAACAAAATCCTAATATACAGGGTTAGTCACAATGTTGTCGACAAGTATAAATGATTATTTTACTAAAGTTTTGTTTTCTCCTCCACGGATGGCGGAGGATCGTAAGGCAACTGCTAGAAACTTTGATATTTATGCTTTCGCTTGAAACCTTTTTTTTTGCCACAGTAAGCCATGTAATTCATTTGTAATAAGCAGTCAAAGTCGGCGACAGCATTATGACTAACCCTGTATCTCCCAGCAAAACTACATGACGGTGCTGCTCCTTCACGTTTGTTCCGAGTCTCCACGATGAGGCCTAGCTTTCCTGTGCATCTCTGATTTATGCCCCACCCCTGGGACCTGGTGGCAGATCCTCCTTTACTAACACATCTCTCAGGCCTGCAATCCCAGTAGGCCCCCCTGATAAACAGTTTTCACTCTGCTGTCTGCTCCTTAGATCTCCTCTGTATATCCTACTAAAGATCCTTTGATTAATGTTTCTGCTAGTAAATGTATATTTAACACTGTCTACAGCATATGAACTTGTAATAACTAAATCAATATCCCTACCATTGATTGTCCGGCACTGCACCGGTGCGATGCTTATGGCGATTCGGTAATTTTCCGGCCAGATGGAGCGCTGATCTACAGTCCTCTATTGATTTAACATTGCATCACCCCCACCATGCCAGTTTTCGGATTAGCTACCGCAAGGTTCCAGCGCCTTTTGATTCATTAATTTATTACCGGCTTGCGCCCCATAACAATGAGGACACTATTATCGTCCTCATCGCAGCCTGATTGAGAGGGAGCAGGGGTGTCAACCAACAGTGAATGCAGAGCCTTACTGTGCATTAATTGAGTGCCGATAAGCAAGTATCCCAGGAAGCCTATAGCTGATAAACTGCCTTGTTATTTATTTTTTTTGTTATTGCTGCCGACAACGAGATGCACAGCAACTGGAAATCCTGCACCCCTGCACTAACCCTTATCTGAACCACCCCGCTTTCCTCAAGGGCTGAATGTGAACCCCGAAATTAAACTCTTAACCTGTTAAAGATGTCCGTCTACAAGCCATGCCAGCAAACTAAAACTGGAGCCTCCTTTTCCCCCGTCTCCGACAAAAACTTTCTCGACTCTCGAGAACTCGAAAACGCCCAATTTAAAGCTTTCTTCATTTGTGGCAAGAATGCAAATCCGTTTTAAAACTAGCAGCATCATCTTCAAGGCTGGTGGAACAAAAACCTAACTCCTGACCCATAAGGAATCACTTAAAACTTCTGGTCAACATTTGCCTGCCATTAATTTATATATAAAATAAAACTGTATTGTCATTTGTCTTTTTCATCACCATAAAAAATACAAAAACAAGAAACACTCAACACAAAGCATCTGAAAAATCGTTCTAGACATGCAACAATATATATACACACACACACACATCTCAAAACAGGTTTGTGTCATTAAATGTAATCATGTCTAAACTGCAATTTATGACCGTACAGCTAAGAACAGAGCAGAAGGGAATGAGAGAATCACCACAAGCATCTCCATTTCTTCTCAAATGAAACATGCTCCACTTGTGCACAGCTCTATTTTGCATGGTTACAACAAATTTAACAGGACAAAAAATGTTTTACAGATGCCTCAACCTTATCCAAGATAACTGGACAGGATGTTCCCAATATACTTTTTGTTATTTCTTCAATGGTGAACCTTGATCCTAGCGCTGATTAGATGTGAGCTGCTGCACACAAAATAATGATGAAACTGCAGTATCAAAGTACACAGTATTAGTTAGGGAGATGATAATTTAAAAAATAATTACATAAAATATTCCGTAGACAAAAAAATTAATTATCCAAAAGAAGATAGGCCTCTTGCCTAGCAGGGTGCTTACCGTAATGGAATCCATTAACATCATTAAGGGATAATTACTGCATCCCAGAATTCTCAGTGGACTGGACAAGGCTGACTTCAGTGAGTGGTCATTTGTCAAAGCAGTACTGCCATCCTCTCTCACTTTCCCCTCCTTGTACAAACCATCTTCCTTTCTCCTATTAAATCAAGGAACTCCCCTCTCGCCAGCATCCCAACTGCCAATCGCAGGCAATTTCCTTTAATTAAATCATTTTAGATTGTGCAGCCATGGAATTCATAATTGACTCGGGGCGCTTAATAAACAAAATCAACAAACAGTCATTTAGAGAGCAGCAGACAGGTGACTCTGGAGGGGAAGTTGTCTGAGGAGAAAGCAGTCTTGTCTCTCTGGCTACAGGCCAGAGAGCATCTGTCGCCACACTGTTAAGACCACCTGCTTTGGCGTGAAAACTGGACACTTGACTCAACAGTTTCCTCTCTCTGCTGTTAAACTCTGAAAAAGCTTACTTCCATTGCTCCTACAAAGAGAGATGCTTTTACATTCCATTTTTAGCTTCAAAATAACTTCAAGTCGGTTTTCAGGTACTAAACAAAAATTGAAATGTATCGTATATCTAAATTTTAGATGGCTTTAATCCGTCACACTTGTGACAAGTGTACGCAAAGAAAAATATTTCAAAATACATTATTATTATTTTTCAATAGATTGTCTCAATATGCCTGAAGCATTAATGACAAAAACACAAAAATCTGGCTTGAAATCTTCCTAAGAAACAACTTTCTGCCTTCATAAGAAAAGTAAACTTCAGGCACACAAGAAAAAATCAAGTCCTTGGTCAATGATATAGAGATCCGACATTCCCCAGACTACAATTTGTACTGTGTCCATAAACCTTTAATATCTTCTCTTATTAGCATGGAGCTTGTAAAAAACCATTTAGCCTTGATTAGCGTGCTTGCTTCTAAAGCAGTGTCTTCCATGGTTAGCATTTAGAAGTTTGTTTTCTTTACAAGTCCATAAATTGCCAATGCAGAACACGCTGACACTTCGATAGATTACCACTAAGTAAAACTTTTTCCTGTAAAGTGACCCCCCCCACACACACCCACCCCTTGCACAGACACACTCACAATGAATATTCATTTTGCTGGGCTTTATAGCAGACTGCATTCTTCAAGTAATTCCGTTCCCAAGTGCAATAAAAAGGGGTTTTAATTTTTATTTATGGGCAAGGTGCAGCAGAGTAATCTGCAATGTGACCCACTTTGGTAGATAAAGGCAACAGAAGCGTTTGATGATGTCAAGCTTTCTGCTACAGTCCACAGACAGGGTTCAGGAGTCTGACGATGCACTAGTCGCTGTGAAGAGACATAAAGCACCGAAAAAGTCCTGTGGATCAAGCACAGGTTTCGCAATGTTGCATCAAAACATGTTCTGTGAGAAGCTGGACAGTAGCGGGAGCCCCTGTCTGTTTGAACCCTCTCACATTAGACATCCACCATAAATTGTTTTAAAACTATTGCTCCTAAGCACTGAAATTGAAAATGTTCACTCGACATTCCAAAAACCTCAGCAGGGAATGAGACATTTGTCCAGGAACAAAGCAGAATAAGAAAGGCTAGCTAACGTATTATGGTATAAAAAAAAATACTGATCCAATTCCAAAGCCCTTCCCAATGAAAGACAAAAAAAGCTTTAGAGGCTGTGCCAGGTGTAACAGATTTGCTTCGCAATGCAACTTTGATCAGGCAATCTCCATCTTCTAGATCAGGGAGCTTAGGTGTAAAGTTCCTTAACAAAACACTTTAATTCTCAGCGTTTCTCCGATCAATCAGAATTTCGATGTCACTTTTTTCTTCTTCGTCCATCTCTCCAGCTCCGTCCCGTTCTGTCCAGATGAACATCTATCTCCATCAGTCTGTAATGATCTATAGTCTGCCTATATCTCTCCATTTAAGCTTTCAATATCAATATACCCGAACCTGCGTTTATCCATCTCTGACTTGCGCCTCTAACACTGAGGGACAGGAGTAGTATCTCAGAGTGCAATTTCATGCCGCTTCAATGTGTCATGCTAACACCTTTAAATTGGATGTCCGTGGGGTTAGGACAGGAGAAAAAGCAGGTGTGAACAGCACTCATCTGTTACTCACTGTGACTGCGCAACTCCCTAATAAATTAGAAATTTATGTCCTAGCAGCATTTTTGAACAGCCTCTCTGAAAACCTCTGTGTGCCATGTAACTTCTTGCAGCATTACTTAAGAGGTACTTAGAAATTCTGTATTACGATATTAATTAATTAAAAAACCAGGGGTTGTAGGAAACATTTGAATATCTAAGGATACATTAATGAGGTCCTTCTCTGAAATGTCATTATTTTTATAGACTTTTTTTAATACTTCAGACATCGGTTTCTGACAGTTTTATCCCGAGGGCTCATCTTTACAATTTTTATTCATTCATCTTCTATTAAGGAAATGGGTTCATAAAGCCACTATATTACAACCATTACTACATTACACTGAGACGGTTAAGAATTGCAGAATGCTGCAAGCCTGATTTTCTGTAGCAAATATTATACTTTATTATGGAAAAGGGAATTTGATATTGTCCAAAAATGACAAAAAAGTTTAAACTGAACTTCTTAAATTAGGTTAAGAGAAGTTGTCTTTACACTCCTGAGCATGTGAAGACTTAAGATTAAACAGAGGAACACAAGAAAGGTTACCAATGAGAGTAGGGCACCCAGCCCATTGGATAGTGAGAAATTTAAATATTTGAAAATCAACTTTTCTTTTTGCTTCAGCTTACTAAATCCTGGAGCAGCAAGGTTTTTTTTATTTAAAAAATCATTTTAAAAATATAAAAAAAGGTAATAGCTGCATGTATATATAATACTGGAGCCCCCACCTAGCCTGATCACTTAAAGCCTTATCTGTTTAACAAATATTTAAAGTGACACAGGATAATGAAAATGGACTCCTGCATAACCACATGTGCACGGCTCCGAATCTGGAACATAAATTGTATTACAGATGGAAAAATTGTACAATTTTTCACTGGGGTCTAGGGGAAATCGAGTCGGGGAGGGGTGTTTGAGAGTCATCATTTATAAATTGAGGACAGATTCAATTACTCGCTGAGCTACATGGAAATTTCAACCATTGTTTCAAGCTAAGCATGAAATTTAGCGGCAATCAGATTGCCAGCATTGAAAGTCTCATTTATCTTATCCAGAAAGAGCAGGGCCCAGCCCGACCTCAGGACTAGGAGATCATTACCCATATGGGATAGAAACTGCTCACTGAATACATCAGGGAGATTTTGCTACACTACCTCACCCACACCCTGCTGGCTTTCTGTTAAAGGCTTTTTTTTGGTCTGCAAAACCCCACATTAATGTTTCATTGTAACCGAGACAGACAAATCGCATTTTCATTTCAAATTGTGAAACAAAACAGGACAACTTAAAAACAGTCACCTCACACCACAGCAAAATAATACTTTGGAAGGCTGTTTCGAAAGAAACATTCGGTCAACTATATTTGTCACAAAATAAGATTTTAGATTTGGAATTTTTCCTCTAGTTAATACAGCACAGTAATACAGCTAATACAGTAATGTTACTCACTTTTTTTATTTTACAAGAAATGCTGTGCTTATTCTTTGCCTGCCGTGACTGACAAATGAACCTAAACCATTCTTAAAATTCAAATCACCGCTATATTTGAAAACCCTGGCACAAGTTAACCTGGAATATTTCCATCACATGTCGTTTGCCTTTGCAGAAAAAATGAAATGCTTCTGTGAGAAAAGCAAAGACGCCCAAAAATTAGCTTTAACGTTTCTCAAATTTAAAGACTGATCCAGGTAGCGCCCTCTCCGAGTTCATCACGCGTAGCATCTCCGCAGAACTCAAGGAGTTAACTGAACCCCACAAAAGCAACAGCAGCTGGGGTGTCTCTTTTGGCTCACCATCCCCAACACCAACAAAGGAGCCCTCGGTGAACCCCACTATTTGATTAATGATATCATCATCCTGATTTATCACTTCCCTCCTCCCCCTTTATAAAAAGCAACAAAAAAAAAGGACAGACCACACTCACTACTCCTCAGGAGTACAAGCCAGCCAGCCAGCCTGGAAATATTAAGCGAAATATTAAATAAACATCCATGCGTCATGTCTCAAGCAGCACTAAGCTAATAAAGCCAGCGACTCCAATCGGAATCAGGAGCCCTTCGCCTTGTTTACCTTAACACTGACACCAAACAGCTGCAATGATTCATGCCTCGGCTGGCTAAAATGTTTAATACCCGTACATCACGCCAGAGGTATTCTCTGCGGCTGAAGGCAGAGAGGGAGAGCACGTGGCCGACCTCGGCAGGCCACGATGAATCAATCTGAGCTGTCAGGCTTCAGCTGGTGCATTTAGAAACACACGGCAGCTCCCACAACTGTCTCCAGCGCCGCTCGGTGCGGAGCCTCATTCATTTATTCCCCAACACCAACACGTGCAGAGGAAGAAAGGCAGCGCAGATAAACCTGGCAGGAAAGTGCTACTTGATGCAAGGAGGACGCAATTGATCTCTATCAGGCAGGTGTATAACAATTTGTTTATCTCTTGAATACGTACACACACACACAAAAGAAAGAAGGCAAGGGATGCACTGATAGCTAATCAATAAATATCAAGCTGTCCTGCTTATCCGGTAGTTATCCTCTGTGATATTTAATATGTGGTGTAATGATTGTAGAGTAGGTCAGATGATTGATTCATTTAAATGATACATTTAAGAAGCAACTCTCCCGTGGGGCTAGTCTGCCCCAGTCGGAGAGGAGCCAGAGCAGGCCCTGCCAAGAAAACAGCGCCTTTCTTTAATGTTCCACATTTGCATGAACTTAAGTCATGTGTGATGAAAAGGTGCAGACGGGCTGCTGAAAAGCATGTTCTATAGGTACTATCGCGGGCCAAAGCACAGACAAAAATTAACAGAAAGGCCCCTGTCCCCTTTTTTCGTTGGTCACAAGACTGAAATTCAATCACTGCTCTGAAGCTAACGCTATGCAATCTGCTCACACATTTTCCTCTCAGCGCAGGCTCTGCTGGTGGAGACACTGAAAGCTGCAATTCAGGTGCTGGTCACAAATCTATTTAAGCAAAAGGGTGTGAGCCGAGACAGAAATGAATAGCGGGTAAGAACCAGCGCAGCCCTGTGTTATTGCAGACATGCACCAGTAAAGCAATAAGCACAAAACGCCACCACATCTCCCCTCTCCAGCGCTAACACTGCTCTGACCCCAATTACCCATTCAGTTAGCAGAATGGCACGCTCACAAACACACAGGGCAGGCAGGCAAGAGCTCTGCCTCAGCCCGGCGATGGAAATTGTTTTATACAAGCAGGTGTCTGGGAATATGGATGAGGGCAGGGAGATAAGGGAATGAGAGGGCTGCCCTTTTACATTTACAGGTTATTTAAATTTATTTCTGGACGACATCAGTCCAAATAGCTTATTCTCTACCTTCTTAGAGCACATTGGGAGGGGAGAAATAAACAGAACTGGTCTCTGTGGACAAGCACATCCATACTGCAAGAACGCAAATCTCTTCCAACAAGCCAGTACTGTCCTCCACACTGCTAAAGGTTTAGTCATCATTTATTAAATTAAACTGTAAAGAATACAAAAAATAGTCTACAAAAAAGGCTAAATACAGTACAGCACATCACTTATGAGAGTGATTGTGGCAGCAGCTAGATATTTCAAAGGAATATAAGTTTATGCTAAGCATGTTCAGCTAATACACTTGTATAAAGTTTATACATGATCTCAGCCTCACTCATTAGTTTCTGGACTGCTCTCACATGGGCAACTGAGTAACACTTTTAAGTCCTGACTCCTGGCTGGAGGAGCTGGGACTGCAGGATACCGGTGGGCCTGTGAACCGAGGACTGAAGGAACTGGAGTACGAGATGGATCCCACTTACTTTTCAATGTCACTGTTTTTACATGTCTTCTGCATAGTGGCTGTACTGGCGTCCTGCTTGCTGCTCTCCCCATTACTCGTCGAGGGCATTTCTGCAGGGAGCAGGAAAACACTGGTGAGCCCAGCTCTCACCCCAAAGGTCAAAGGTCAAAAGACATCTTATAGAGAAGCTGGAGTCATGCTGCAGTATCGCAGGTATACTGACAAATATGCGTGATTTAGGTTATGTGAAAGAGGAATCAGGAACTAGAAAAGAAAATATTTTTTTCTTTAAAAAATAAATCTCGGCAGATTATTTACTGTTACTCCTGCTATATCTGGAATCAAAAAGCAGGTAATTAAAAAAGTAAGGCTTAGGCAGTTTTATGAAAAAGATTTCTCTAAAGGGGATTTGAAACTATTCTGTTGCACAGGCACCTCACAATCTCAGAAGTGGAGGAGTGTTGGTTGTAACAGTTTGCCTCAAACATGTGAAAAACATCTAAACCAACTGTAGAATCCACACATTCTGGACTAACTGAACATTTCTCTTTCGATATTCCCAGGTCCCAGTTTAAACCTCTATGTTAACAGGTGCTTTCCTAGTACTGTTTCCAAACAAACAGTCTGACACCAACATAGACAAAGGCACAGAGTCTGCTGTACTCACCGTCGCTGGCCCATTTGGAGAACTCTGGTGTTATTCTGTTGGAGGGTGTGCCACCACTATGAGGAAAAACACAAGATTAACTGTACAACATCAAGCTGTTGCGAATGAAACAATTGAATCCTGAAGGTCATGCCTACATAAATTCTTAAATCCTAAAAATCACTAATTTCCCTCTTTTGAGCTTCACAAAGGCAAATGTCTGGGCCACCCCACCCATCTCAATCCAACAGAGCCGGAATCAATTTGTTTGCTGGACAAGGGTTTTCAAACGTACTTTAAAACTGCTCCTCGCAGTGCCTCCCTTTCTTTGGCTTCTCCTGGCTCCTCTCCTGAACATGGTATGATGTCTGCTTCTGTGTACCTGAGCACAACCCGTTCAGGAAAAAGAAACGAGGAAAAGGGCACAACGGTGGAAGAATAAATCGAGCCATCTCCACTGAAATACACAGGCTGAACCCTGAGCTTTTCCCGACTAGATAAGTGGCACGCGGATGAAAAAGTGTATTTGCATTGTTCATTTTCTGGATTTGTGCTGCATTATACTTCACCTGATCATTTTATGCAATATTTTCTCTAGGAAATTAGCTACAGGATTTTTTTTTTCTATCAGCTTGACACGTTGAAATACAAAACCATCTGTCACCTCCAGATCTCTACGCTGGCAAAGCAAATCTCTTACAGGTGATTTCCTATGCTGCGAAAACGAGCGGCTATAGGGCATTTTCGTATCTGTATTGCAAGGCACTTTCTTTGTGCAGATCGGGTTGTTTCCAAGTGTGGCTCTCCCCAGCTGCAGCACGTGTGCGTCTGTGTGCAAGCCAAGGATACTGTGCTTTTCCGTATTCCAAGGTATCGTCGCCATCGACATCCAGGTCTGCGTCGCTGTCGTGGTTTTCTTTACTGTTGCACGTCACAAAGCCTGAGCCTGAGAGAGAGGAGGAGGAGGAGGAGGAGGAAGCAGAGTTGAGGAGTAGGCACGCCGTAGCTACAAGACAACACCTATTTAACCTCATTTACCATTCAATTTTTTTCATGTGGTATATTCAAAACCAGTAAGGAGAACCCCCCCCCCTTTCACGAAGAGACATTCCATATTACTCATCATGAAAAATACCAGTTTCGTGTTTCTATCGAATCCAAAGCATGTGCCGCCTGTTAATGACGCACGTAGGAAGGTTCTGGTAACTGACACCCACTGCTCTGTCCCTTGGATGAAGACCGAAAACCGAGGTCCCAACTCTCCGTGGTCATTAAACACCTCCAGAGCATGTCTTTAAAAGTGTAAGGGCGCCACCCAGTGTCCCAAATTCCCCCCTGGCCTTTACCAATCACAACCTCCTAAGAATCCCCAACTCGGAACTGGCTCAGTTCTCCTCCCCTGAGAGCTGATGTGGGGTGAGTGGACTGGCCCATTTTCGCTGCCATCGCATCCTCCAGGTGGGGGCTACACACTGGTGGTGGTGGAGGAGAGTCCCCATTACCTGTAAAATGCTTTGGGGTGAAGTGTCCAGAATAGAGCTATATGAGTGTAAGGAATTATTATTAATATTATTACTGCTATACTCATTGACATGCGCCATCCAAGAGTACCAACACAAAAAGACGGCAGTAATCAACGCAGGAAGGAGAGGAAAAAGTCATGAAGCACACAGGGTGTCCTTCCCTGCCAGGATTGATTACCGGACCTGCGCAGCAGTGGCCCTGCCCCACCACAGACCCCCATTCCCGGCACCCTTCCCTGATCCTCCTTAGCGCTGTCTCCCCAGACACATTCCTCTCCTTCCACGCTCAGCCCACACGTAACAGCTACTTGGCTGAAGAAAAACAAAAGTAATAGCCCAGTTCCCAGTTCTGTCAGGCAGCCGTCACACACAGTGTGACAACTAATTCCAGGCTGCCCACTGAGTGGCATCTCTATAAACCCAGTGATGAGAAAGGAGACAAACTCCCCATTCCATCTGAGTGCGCCTTTCAGCTCTACTTAAGGACTTGCCTTGTAACGCTTGAAGTGTGTCCTAGATACGCACACAGAGGCAGCAGCTTGCCAGTCCTCTTCTAAAGGAGCAGGGGAAGTGCGAGGTGCAAAACGCGTATCACACAATAAATTGGCCCGACTTGAAGACCTGGCATTTCCAGCCGGCTTCAAACCGTGCAGGAAGCGTTCCCGGACGATGCCGGGATCAGGGTATTGAAATCGCTCTGAATGATCTTTCATCGCCAGTATCAGAATCTCTAACCGCAGTCCCAACAGTTCCAGACAAAGCAGCGACTTCAAGTACAACGGTATCTACAAAGCCCAAGCAGGAGCTGGGAAGAAACCAGCAGGCAATGTAGAATGGCACCATATGCCAAAAGAAACCATTTACGTTAAGGAAGAAATCCAGAGGAGTACTGCTTACAGGGGATTACCAAGGAATAGTGTTTTACAAGAGTGCCTCTCGGCGATAAGGACCTTTGAAGGCACTCTGCAATGACTAGCAGTGCTACTGTATACACAGCACAAGAGAAAACACCCAAGTATTCAAATTTTATAAACTACAGGTAGCCTACTAATCTGTGATAAGTCTTTGATAAATCCTTGATCTTACAAAAAGTGGCTGAAGTCTTTGAATCATTTAAAGGCCTGCTTGCAGGACAATGCCGACAGGTTCATTTTTACTACATGAAAGTCAGGTCAAAACAGCTTGGTGCTCAAAAAAAAAAACAACTAAAAACTAGGAGTAGATTTTATTTTTGTAATAGCAAACCATTTGAGACACTTGATATGTGACACCAAAAACTGTATGTATTAATAAAAGTCCTTCTTTCCAGGGAAATCTGCAGTGATGAGCGCAACGCAGCACCTGAGGAGATGAGCAGCTGACTCTGGCAGCTCAGATCCTGCAGTTCCATCATGAAGCAGTAGGGCTCAGTGCTGACTGCCCTGGTGTTTGAGCAGGGAGGGCAGTAACCGGCCAAGATTCTGGGACCAGACTGCTCGCTCTAAGTGCAACGCCACCAATTCCTCTCAGAACTGAACGCGTTAAAGGGTTCTATCCTGAGGAAGAGGATAAAACGGACCACAAATGCTAAACCTTTTACAACGCACCAATGGTTTTTAGTGATCAAATAAAATGGACCTTTTAAGTTTTATTTGGTCCCTATGGCTGTGAGGAACATATGTTAGCAATAGCCTGCCCACATAAATCACCCATTTGCTGTTCACAGCTCCTCAGTGCAAAAACAACTGGACATTCCAGACAGTGCCTTCCACATGGGACCCTAACCAAACACACAAGCAAAAAGTCAAGCCCATTCTTATGCCTGCATGAGTGAAAACCTGGTTTCCCTATCCTAATGAGGATTCCGGTACGTCAATCCACTACCGGTGGGGGCACAGCCTCACTTCCAAAGATATCTTAACAGGTAGGGATTCCTCTCCCCCTGCTTGAGATCAATGAAGTTTCAGTTTCAAATATGGACCTTGTGAAAGGAATATGTAAAAGCTACATTCCACGATTTTTACTTTCTTCACATGTGAAGTACCTGAAGGCTCACAATGCAGAACCGACTCTCCTGTCCCTCCCCAAAAAGACCTGATTTTCCTGTACGAGTCGCACACTCACGAACCCTCCTGACAATAAGAGACTAAAATGATCTTTTCTTTCTGAAAAAGATCGTCTGACAAAATGTTTTCTTCTTAAGTACTAACGACTCTTGAGCTGCTAGTTCTCCACTGGAAGGCCTCCTCATTCCCTCTGCTGGCCTCAGCGGACCCTGGCATTGTGGCACAGGAGCTCCGGGGTGCTAAGCGCGGGGTTGGGGTACTTCTGCTGACTAAATCAAAACCCTGTGGCACACGTTTTCCGTTGTGGGGTCTTTCAGTAGAAACGTGGAGTGGATGAGCCCCAAGGGCGACGGTGAAAGAGAACTGCATTTTTTTTTTTGGCCTGCATTTGGTGTTTTGAAAATAAAATCTGTTAAAGTATCAATCATTTCCAGTCTAGGACCCCATTCTAAAATATCGCGCCACGGGCGTAAAAAAAGGAAGCTAAAAAAAAACGGGCTTCGCCACATACTGAAAGCACTGTTCACTGCCAGCGGGGAAGGGGATGAGAGAAACAGCAGGCTTCTGCTCAGGCCTGTGCTCGCAGATGGCCCTGGAGCCTGAGGTTAACAGCAACAGGCAGAAGGGGAACGGGGAGGGGCGGTGGGGAGTCAGCGCTGAAGTGATGAACAGCTAATGAGGCTTAAATTTTATTAATTTATGTAAAAGAAGTGCAAATGTGAATAAAGAAAAAATAAATAGATATTCTGACCACTAATGGTGGCCTAGTGCAAGGAGACTTGGTGGGCTGTGAGCAGAAAGAAAATCACTGTTAATTTAATCAATTGATCAGAATATTGATTTGGGAGTCAGCGCAGATAGTTAGCCATGCATGGCGGGTCCACAGATGTGAGACCGCAGCAAAAGGAGCCATTGATTTCCGGGGGCTGTCACTCAGCAGTGCTTCCTGAATAGAAATGAAACCCTGGCTGGTGGGGGTGGGTGTGTGCACAGAACGGAGGGGCCAGAGCAGAGGAGGAGGAGGAAAGTGGGGAAGAAGTAAGTGCCTGGGAGAGGGTGCGTCATGGGGGGGGTGTGGAGGGCATAGTTCTGGCACCGTGGGAGATTCAAAGTTGAATTAGTTACAGATGCAATCACAGTGCCTTGTGTAAACTTTATTGATTGGATGGCTGTCAGGCTCACTGCCTTGATGATCAGCCAATCAATCGGTGCGCAATGTCACCTGCCACTTTCCTGAACAGTTGACAACGCAATTATCCGATGCGGAGGCAGGGAGTTGGCGTGTGTCAAAGGCAGTTAGGCGCTCACAGGAGGCCACTCAATAAAGTGTGCCAACGCCTGGCTAGTGACGGAGAAAGATTCACGTGCACGGGGAAGGAAAAAGACACATTTGCTTCCTGGTGTCCCCTACAAGGGCAGTGGAATGCCTTTGCACCGAACGCAACCGGGAATGAGTTCTCCAGCACAGGCTGCCTGTGATGTAATGCTGTCTTTGTGCATTTCTGAGTTCTCTGGAGCCCAACAAATGATGATGATAACAGCTCCTGTGAAGTGACCTGTCTGAATTCAGCAGCTGGCTGCAGCTTCTCTGCGCCATCCTTCTGTGTCCTAATCTTGGGAATGCAGAAGTGTTAATGGATGAAGGGAGAGTGGGAGCTTTCTTCTACTCGTTACGAATATCGGTGCTCCCAAGCCGGGTCTAGAAAGGATCTTAAATACTTCCCAACAAAGAAGTGCCATTCGGTTCTTTGCTTTTGGGCTGAATTCCTTCCTGCGTGGTTCTCATTTTATTAAAATAAACTGGTTCTCTTAATTACTCTCTCAAAGCAATGACCCGTCTTCTGTTGGAACGGCAGACAACTTTTAAAAGACGGCATGCTTTTCGGATATAAAATGACTCATACCTTCCAAGTGATCCAACTCCTGCAAGTGATGGGACAGTAAGAAAAGAAGTCTCAATGTCCACAGCATTTAAAAAGGAAGAACTTTCGTTTAGGTAACAGTTTGGTCTGGGAGGATTACTGTGCAACTTGCTGAGATCAAGGACATCACTAACAGGGGCACGCAGACGGCCAAGAAGCCCATCTAACATTACAGAGCAACGTTTGCAAAGAAAGGCAGGATTTCTACCTAAAAAGCTACAAACTAACACTGAGGCTTTGAAGCCGGGCAGCTCTGCGCGTCTGTCAAAGAACAGATTGCAAAGGGGGAGCAGGGACGATGGCTAGGAGACACTACTGTTTCATCTCCCGGCTTCCCCCCCGCCGCCCCCACTCTCCCTCTTTTCTCCAGAGTGTACTCCAATCGTACCCCCACCCCTCTCCTGCCACCCACAAGTACGGTACCCTCTGAAGTTGTCTGGCTAGCTTTCCTGATCAACCGCTATCACTCCTTTTAACCAGTCTTGGCAGGCAATCTAATCTCCCCTGAAAAGGTCACCGCCACTTTAACTGCCTTTCAATCACATTATGCACGCTGCTGCACGCGCTCGCAGTCTGCTGGGCCCTGCGGCGCTGGCCCTCCACTCCCTTCCGTCAGCCGAGACAGGATCAATACCCTCACGGCGGCCACCCAGCCACACACACGCACGCACACACACACACACACACCGAGCTCCCACTTCTAACGCGGCTACCGGACCAGCCCTGCCCGCTCGAGAACGATACACCGATTGATCCATGGGAGAAACGGCGAGGCAGTAAGAAGGAGAGGAGGTGGTCCGGAATAGTAACAAAACCATAAAAGCCAAATATAACACAAAAATCAAGCGAAGCCGGTGCCCCCACTGCTTGTGTATCTAATCTGCTTAGCCCCATCTGCACAGGTCAAGGCTGAATCGGGATGGTATTTGGAAGTTCGGGGAGGAAAGAGCCATCTTTGAAGTGGTTTTACAAAGGGGAAGGCTTTCAAACAATCCCCGATGCCATCGTTGCAGCCAGAGCTCTCGCCGGCGATATCGCGCACGCATGCGGCCATTTAAAGAGCGTTCCCCTTTTGCGAGCAAGATAAGCCGTTTAAACATGAGAGGCCTCTGCTTCTGAGCCTGAAACGGATCCAGTTCGATTTTTCCCCATCCTCCACCCCCGGCTTTTTCTTTTTCTGGGTTGAAAGCGTTTCTCTGGCCAACTCCCTCCCCTGGTGCAGACGAATCGGGAACACAAAGGCGGGAATTCTTATCCCACTGATGCCACCTGTGGCCCCCGATCCCGGAGCTCCGACACGAAGCCGCGAGGGAGAATTCAAGGGCACTTGTGCTTGAACGTCGCTGTGCTCCGACACCACTTTCAAGAGAACTCGTCTGTCTGAGGACACCAAGCAATCCTCCCTCGCCTTTAAAATGCTTATATATATCTGCATTACAAATCACAGCATCTTGTACTTGTTCGAGTGAGCAGCATGCGTAGACTGCAAAGGAACAGGTAAAGGTTTATTCCACGCTGAAAAGAGACAAAGTCGGAAGAAGGCTCCACAGCCGAAAAGATCATCTCTTTTCTTTTCATCTCGTGCTTGTGCCTTCTTCGGGAACCACCCAGCACACCTCCCCAACCTTCAAAGATTCACCTTCATTTTTTATTACCTGAGCAAAAAACAGAAACGGTGAATATTATAGCCCCGTAAAACAGAGTGGTCTCTTTCAATTTGACGAGATTTTAAGAAGTGCTTTAACTCTGCACTCATGTTCGGCTTTTAATCACCTTACTTTCAATATTTGGATCTTAAGAGAAACGGATTCTTTTGGTCCTTTCCCTTATCAACATTAAACGGATCTTCTTTTGCCATGATTCACCTCACAGAAATTTAGAATGAGAATTATCAGCACCTTCCTACCAGTGGAAAGAAGTACTGACAACAGACCAACACGCTGCTTAATGCTACTAAAATGAGTGTCTCACCTCTCCAACCTGCTGTGTTTAACCTAACTCAGCAGATCGGGGTGGGGGGGTGGCTTCTGTTTGACAATCGTTCATATCATAGTTCCCCCTCAGCCCCAAGAGAGCAAAGGCAGGTCTCAGCTAAAATTACATTCCCCGAGAAATGCAACCCAGAGGTCAAATATTGCCCTTTCTCTCCTCTCGCCTTTCTCCTACTACACATCATTCTGCCCAGCTCATCTGGAGATCTGCACAGCTAAATATGTTTTTGCTTTCATTCTTTTAAGGAGTGATGTTGGCCAGGAAAGCCAACATTTTCTGCGCCAGAGGTCTTGCTGAGTGGTGCTTTTAGAGCACTTTCAATTTCCACCTCCAGGAAGCCACACGGAGGTAAAGGCATGAATCAGAATACATCTATGCTGTTCCACTGCCTCAAAAGCAAGCCATTCATAAAACTGAGCGTCCCACACGCCAGGGCTAAAATACACTTTCGCAGCTGCTTCAGAATTTTCCATTTCAATTTTCAACCGACAGCTACTTCACAGGTCTGAAGGATACCAGGACGTAACAAATCACTTATCAAAGTACCTCGAGTTGAAGCTTTTATTTTGTCATTTCCACATTTTTCTAAGATTCTACCTAACATGAGCTATGTGCTCTACTTTTTTTAAAACTCCCTACTTCAACTTGGGCTTGGGGCGCTTTTGGGGGGGAAAAAAAAACAACATTTAACATCTTATAGAAACGATCAAATGTAATTCCAAGCCACTGCCTTAAACCGGTAACAGGGGACACGGTCCAACAATAGCCTTTCGGATGAGACGTTAAACCGAGCTCCTAACTACGTGGCCATTAAAGACCTTGTGGTGCTGCTCTTTCGAGTAGTGGCGTTTACCCTGCTGACCTGGCTAAACTCCGCCACACGGGGCCTGGACAGACTGACCTCCCTAAAGTTCCCCCTTAACTCAACCGATCGAGTCATTTCTTTCTTCACCAGTTCCGGCAGACAGAGGCTTCCCCCAGGTTGGGGCTGCACATGAAGAGGGCTATAGAAATGCGGCGGTTTATTACCCCAGAGTCATTTGCACGCTGCAAAATGGAATGACAAACCCCAGGACGAGGTCTTTCGGTTCATCCATTACGGAGCGCGCACACCGCATGCGCGCACGCCTCTCCACAAACACACAAACACACAAACACACAAACACACAAACACACAAACACACAAACACACAAACACACAAACACACAAACACACAAACACACAAACACACGACACCCCACAGCGGCGACGGGCTGGCGTACCTCTGAAGCCCCCTTCCAGCAGGGACGTGGCGCGGACCCTCTTCTGGCCACACCACTCGTACTCCTCGAAGCGGTTTCCGTTCTCCCCCTCCATCTCCGCCGAGTCCTCCTCCGCCCCGCACGCGCCATCTCTCTGCGGGGGGAACACTGCAGTGACTCGGCTGGCCAGCTCGGGGGGGGGGGACTGTTAAACGTCCAGTCGGCCCGCGCACCCTGGCGGTGGTCTTAAAGGAACGTGCAACGGACAGCGCCGCAAGGGCGCATGATGCACAGCCCGTCTGCATTCACGTGCATCGTGGGCTTACTAGCAAGTCCTCAGTAAGAAAAGACAAACCGAGGGCCCGTTCACCTGGCTTGAAGCTTGCAAGCGAGTGATCCAAAGGGTAGAGGGAGACTAGGACACTATCTAACGCACTATAACAACGAGAACAAGAAGAGTGGAAAAGGCTGATCAGCCTATGACCTAGAGCTGCACTAACTCAAGCGAGTGATCAAGAAGAGTTTAACTGTAATATAAATATATAATGTAAAATATGGGGGGGTTCCCGTCAAGACAAAAAGATCACGCTGGTTTTCACACAAAAATGTTTTCAGAAAAAAGCGGACCCGTTTTGTACACCTTGCTTCATTGGGACAGAGGAAGAGGAGGCAAGATCTGAAGCGTAGGAGGATAGAGGTTTCTTTTTTTGAATTTCTATAACCCCCCAACCTGTAGAATTTAGTCTGTGACAGTAGGAGCTTGCAACACACCCCTTCTTCTGTCCCCGTTGAGTCCTGGAATCAAACCATACAATCATGCACTCCCACTTAACAGTGCGCTCAGTGATCAAAAGCTCAAGATTGATCAAATGAATAAAACCGCTGGAGAACAAAGGCGTGGCGTTAGAGCCCAGTGAGACAGGAGAGTCCTAGAGAGAAGAGCCAGAGGGCAGCGGCGTGCGAGAGGAGACGGCGGCCCTGATGCTACCTTGAACAGACACTGTTCCACATGCCTACTCATCTCCAGCTCCGTGCCTGCCAGCGCTGTGCCGCACAGTGGACATACCTGTCCATCCTCTGGCTTCCGGCGCTTCATCTTCCCGATCCGAGCTGCCGAGACACAAGGAGAGGAGGGACAGAGTCAGTGCCGGCGACATGCCCGGACCCACTCCCAGGCTAGAGAATGAGAGCGATTATTATCAGGCATCTGACACAAATATCTGAAAAGCAACCTTGTTTTTCAGTAAAAGCACTTTAGAACAGGACCAGTCAACATCTGAGGATCTGTAACTGGACATGTGAAGGAAACGGGGCCTTAAACTGTTAAACGACCAGCCCTCCCTGCACCCACCACACTACCCCTGTAACCCCTGGTAATGACTGGTGTGCTCCTGAAAAGCACCGCAGTTAGCAAAGACGCAGAGAAGCAAATAATGCAACAGTAGGGTTAGGGCACATGCACATCAGCAAAAAACCCACATTTTATATAACTGCATTTAAACAAATGTACATAAAAAGGAATGTTTTCAAGCAATTGAATGGCGTGAAATTTTTAAACGCAGCAGACCTTTCAGCGCCCTGTGTGCAATACTATACAGTGACCTGACTTTTACTGTGAAACATGGCGCAGTAAACTGTACAGTGCTGTAATAAGCAGCTGTCTATAAGTGCCTCCTGTGCTGTGCCTGGCCAGCTGGTGGCTCTGTGTAACTGAAGAATGAAAGAATGATTTGCGAATAAGGAATAAGACTCTGTGAACATGGGCACTAATTTGACCATGTGGAAGTGAAAGGAGGTTGTGAGAAGCACTGAGTGTAGCAGGGTCTATCCGTTCCTCATTCTCTGTACAGTAACTGGTCGCCACAGCTCCTTCCCAGCAGTTTCTTCTGGATGGCATGGCAGTGATGCAAACCAGTATTGGCATTTACAATGCATCAAATTAGTTTCAAACTGCACTTGAGTTAATGTGGGTCAATGAATTGGTCTGAACACAGGAAACTCAGAATACACAGGTTTTGCCAGAGGCTCTAGGCAGCGAGCACTTGATATACATTTCTAAAACACAAAAAGGGGTGCCCACCAGCACATATTAAATCTTTGACCTTCAGAGTCTATCACTTTGACAGTGGTCGTTGAATTTTATCTAGATCACTCTACAAGTGTGTTAATGTTGCACAAATCCTGAACTAATTTATGTACTTATGTGGGTACAAGCAGCTCCAACTGCATGAAACTGTCCGACAGTAACAATAATTCTGGGCTGCATCTTGCAAAGCTCTAAAAGATGAGGATCTCAAAGGCCACATTCCTGAAGAATCATCCCATAACCAGAAGTCTAAAATGATCCTTTTCACAGCAAGGTTTGAATATTCATGTGAACATGTCATGCAATCAGCAGAGAAACGGGCAGGAGATGGAATGTATTGGGATCTCACTGTATGGGAAACTGCATTGCTAAGCTACACAACTATAAGGACTCAAGACTGTTAAAACTTGTCTTACAGAGGCCTTTAACAGGTTTGCCATTTAGACAAAGGCAGACTTTTGTTTGCACTCTGGAATGCACCCCACACGCTCCAAAAAAAGATTTCCGTGCAGCGCAAGAGCATGCCAGCCAAAATCACACCGATAATGACAAACACGGCAGTGTATTATTTATAATGACATTCAAGTAATCTCATTACGGGCTATTCCAGATTATCAATGCTTGCTCATTCATCAACGAGAAATGAGCTAAAAGCAGTCTGTAAGAGGGAGAAGAGAGTCAATCTTATGGACGTCACGTCAGAGAGAGGCCGCGGTTCGTGTGAACAGCGGAGCACGGGAGAGGCGGCTCTCCAGCACTGCAGACATCCTCTGTGGGAATCCCTGGGAATTGTTCCCTCTTTTATTCCCTTCTCTCACAAATGGTTCGGGATGGACTGCCAATCTCGCTGTACAAACCTCCCATTCCCTTTACAACTCCCCCACACACATAATTAGAAATTTAACACAGCAGAACAGCGCCTATTACATCGTAAGTCTTTGTCCCTTTTTCTTAACTGCAAATTGCGTGCAGGGACATTAATTTTTAGGTGGCTGCGATTCTGAACGGGCCAAGGGGACCAGCAAGGAGAAGGAGGCGCCATAACTCTGAGTGTGGAGGACTGTTACTGATAATCTCTGCCAGGTAATAGTGGTGGTAATTGAGAGAGGCTCCATTAAATAGAAAAAGAAAAGGCAGATTAATTAGGCAAGGCAAGGATTCCCCCCCCCCCCCTTAAATCACTGAGATTCAGAATGTAGGATAATAAACCTTAACGGTGGCATGAGCTTTAACAGAGCCAGCTAAGGCTTTTATTGCACCGAGAGGAAACCGGTGTGGACGCCAAGCGAAGTCACTGCCTTTTGAAACCGCAGTAGCACACAGGAGCTCGGGAAGGGCAAGCTCTCTCGGCTGGAAGGGAACGCCGGCGGGCGGACGCAAATCGAGAACATTTAAGAACTTCCGACTGCGCTGCACTGACTGGAATTAAATGCCCCCCCCGTTACCGCTGCATCAGAGTTATCTGAGCAGCTCAGCGGGAACACAACTCTCTTTCATTTGATTTCACCGAAAGTCTGAGCTTTTGTTTCACCGGCATCGCCCCGCTTGGCGGAAATAAGGCAAGGCTGGGATCCGCCGGTATCCGGGGAAGGTATTACGGAAGATGGTTCTTACCATGTCGCGGGCAGCAGGGGACAAAGGGGGCTCCGTTGTGCGGCCGTAAAGGTACGGTTTTGCCACTTTCCCTGGCGTAGCGCCTGCACCAGCAGAGGTCATCGACTGTTAACATATCAAGAAGTCAAGGGTTAATAGATCCTCTGCTTGTGAAGGCGCCATGTCGGGGAAAAGCAGCAAAACAGGAGAGAGACTTTGCCATGAAGGCTGGCCTGGCTCACTGTGCCTCTTCTTCCTGACAACACTTCCAGCTGGCCTCGGCCACAGCAACAACATTTACATGTATTCATCGGGTGGATGCTTTTACCCAAAGCGTCCCTTCTAGATGTCTAGGTGCAAGCGGTGCAAGTAATAGCAGTAAGAAAAGGGAGCCAGAACCACCCAAAACAGTAGGCGCGGCACTAAAAAGTATGGAGAGATGCTGGGCTCCTATAATCCTAACCTATAATCCCAATGCAAGTGCAATCAACAGACGTGGTTGTAGAACAATGGGCCACTTGTCATGTAATAAGACAATAGTTCATACAAAGCAAGGCACCTCAATAATATATGCATTTATAAAGCACGTCACATGTAGTGGTGGAGCCAATTCATCCACCCCGTAGGCAGGACCTCGATTTAATGCATCATCATATGGGCGCCATCTCCTATAGCAGTGTCCTCGGTCACCGCGGTGGGGTGCAGGGGTCTGGAAAAATTCTGGTCCAGAGGGAATGGTGCCACCTACTGGCCCACCAACACAACCAGGCTGATGCTGTCAGTGTTCTCTGGATACCTCCATCTCAGTCCTGACCAAGTCCAACTTTGCTTAGCTTCTGAGATGTGACCAGATCAAGCTACAGGGCAGTACATGACAAATAACTACTAGCAAGCCCATGCATCCATCAACCCATCCAGTTTCTTGTCCGCTTTATCCTTCGGACTGTGGAAGGAAACCCACACAAGCACAGGAACATACAGACTCCACACAGACAGCACCCCAGGAATTGAATGCAGGACCCCAGAGCCGCGATGCAGCAATGCTCAACACCGTGCCACCCAAATGAATTCAAAGTCTCTTTTATATTCTAAACTGATGTTTCAATTTAAGAAGTAAGCAGATGAGCTTAACAATGTTTCTTTGGTTTTCTCAGAGTGTAAGACCAGCCTAATGAATTTACTTGGGAGCTAGGGAGTTGTCATTCACTTAGCCTTTTCCTAAACTAATTTTAATGAATTCCCATCCTGAAGGGTCAGGGATCTGCCTCTAAACCGCATCCATGCTGGCAGCTGTGAGGATAATTTCGACATTTCATTTTGATCGCTGCTCTATTACTGATGATTGATGGGCAGAAGGGATTCCTTGGACAAATGTGGATTAACCTGGGAGTCCAGGAAGCCCAGAGTGCTGCACTCCACCCCAGTAACACCTCGTCTGCACAGGCCAGACTGCAGTCCGGAGCACCACCTGGGTCTCTCGCTGACACGGGCACACGGAGCGTAGACTCCTATAAACAAGCTGGATCTTACTCAAAAGGCTTCATCTCAGCGTGTAAATGCTTCAGATTAATGCAACAAATACGTCCATTGTTTAATATGAGGACAAGTTAAAATTGCGAGCAACAAATTTAAGGCATTATGCTGCACCGTCCTTTTGGACTGAAACTGCAGGATCAGATAAAGATGGAATATGCTGAAAAGTCCTCTGACCAGCAGTCTTTAAGCCACTGCACATTTTTCTGAGCAGATGTGGTTATAAAGGTCTAGCCTGAAACAAAAATATTCTGTAATTTAAGAGTCTCGATCGCTCTGCATTTTGGCCTTTATGACATTGATTCGTATATTTATATCCTTTTCGATGCCTTTTACGACATATAGTTGATCTACTGAGCTGACGAGCCCCAGGACTGGTGGTAATGCAAGACTGCCTGTTTCTGCTTTGACAGTACACGATCACGGAGGGCGTGGGAGAATGAGCACTCTGCCACACTGACCACCCCCCCCGGACATCTGCCGACACGCGCCCAGGGGAGCTGGGGCGAAAACCCGCCGGGAGCACGGCCACGCCACTGCCCCCTCCCTGCGTGGGATGGCCATTCAGAGCATCGACGCCCCAGACAATGAACCCATGCCATTAGAGATGATGATGATGATGATGATGATGATGATGAGCCACAACTCGCCAGCATTCTACAGAAACACTGACGTACACACAGAAACAGCCACAGGCCCCTCGGGTACCAACAAGGGCTCTAGATTAGAAGAGTGTCCTACAACACGTGCACACAGATTGTGCGAATGCTAGGATTAAAAATAATCCAACCTGCAACAGGTCTACTAAATATCTAATAAAACAGGCGAGACGTCTTCCTAGTTATGCCATATTAATTCTGCTTAAAACCTCTTCACCTGTCACAGGAGGGCAAATTTCTGATGTGATGCCATACCTCTCAGGTTCGAAGAAGGCAGGGCTGCACACAAGGAGTATACAGCCTCTCCTGCTTTCACTTGTTTTGTGTACGTGTGTGTGTGGGCGTTTTATTTTCAAATTAATTCCTGTTTTTCTCTCCTCTGTTCGGCACTGCCCCGTCACTTCCAATCGCTACAAATTAATTAGATCTTGTGACCCGCAAGCACACACAAGAGGGCCTCTCGCTGGCTGTGTGAGGGGACGTCTAATTCTAAAGGGCACCAGAGAGGCACAGCCGTGCAGCTAATTAATGCTGAAAGGTGTGATCACGTCAAATTAACTCAGTAAGCTGTTCCACGCAGAACGCCGGGGCTTAAAAACTCCCATCGCTTGCCAAAACCAGAGCGTGCTGGCTGCTGGAGATCTGACACCCCGCATTAAAAGACAGGGCAGGCCCGTCCTCGGCGCCGCAACAGCGACCCCTGCAGGTGAGCGCTGGGAACTGACCCCAATCGCGTGCACCGAATCCACCTGTAACCCATCCCGACTTCTCCCGTCTCCCCTGAAAGACGACCAGAACTCGGCAGCAGACTTTGGGAACGTCCCTGCTCAAGCGCAAGGCTCATCGAAGGAGCTGGGATTCTGCAACAGAATCCGCTTCTGATCAACATCCAGCAATCGAGACAAGTCCTTTAAGAAGTTTACTGGAATGTGTACATCCAGTGGGTTTTTTTTTACTTTAATGTATACAAATAAAGTATACTGATGCAAAACCAGTTAAAAGTCTTGTAAGTAAATTAAATCTACACTGGAATCACCATGGGGGGTGGGAAGCAGGGTTTAACTGGGTAGAGCTACAATATGAACAGGTAAGGTTCCCAATCATACACAACTGAAGAATGGGAAGAAGTATCTGCACTGGCGAGCACACAATTCAGTGCTTAGTCGCAAAGTACTTGAAATGAACTGGTAAATGACAAAAAGATGGGCAAAAAGATCCAAATATGGGACACTGTAACCTCCAGTGGTCGGATTTCCACAATATGCGCAGGTAATGCACCTATTTGCACAAGTCAGGCACATGAACCGAACTAGCTCATCAAGAAAGTTTCCCTTTTGTGTTTATTCGAAATTCAAATCAGTTCCTAGGAGAAAACAAATACCTACAGTTCAAAAGCCTTCTGGAAAATATGGTGTGTGTGTTGGGAAGGAGGGGGGGGGTTGATTAACATATTATTGAAAAAACATTGTAAATGAATACAACTTTTTTTTTTATAAGCAACTCAACCAGACACGTTCACCCTGAGTCGCCCACCACAACACAAACAGGTTGCAAAGGCAAAACATCTGGTCCCACGACAGGAACTACGCTGCTAATTGCGCAGAAAACGCGGTCAATCCTGAATTTCCCAGCTAAGGATTTCAGAAAAAGTTCGGCACGTCAATCAGAATGGAGTAAAAATAGAAATAAAAGCGGTACATACCATTCAATCGTGTTTGTCTGTTTGCCCTCACTCGTAAAAATGTCTGAGGGAGGGAAGAAAAAAAAAAGCGACAAGAAATAAAAGTTAGAGCACGACCCTCCGGAATCGTATTTTTACCACACTGTTTGTTAACGATTAGACCTCGGATTGCGCTGGATTCTGCCACCGCGCCGAGCCGCAATCCCAGATTGTAAACAAAAACCTACTTCTCTTTTGCCATTGCTCTGTTTCTCCTCTTCCATAACTACGGGCTCTGCGTACGAGGCATTAGGGCTCCAAAAGTCACCAAACTTGCCACACTCACTCGTATCAGACAACCATAAAAGCAGCCCGGTGCGCAAACCACCCGTAAACGGGCGGCAGCTTTAAGAATTTAAGAAGGATGCAAAGGGATTGAAAACAGCCGGCTTTCACAACACCACCGCTCATCCTACAGCAGCAGCCATGTTTGCTCCTGTCATGTGACCGGCAACAAAGTGAAAGTTCAGCTACTGAGAAACACGGCCGTGGAGACGTGAGAGTTGAGGTCTTACGAGTGGCCAGTAGGTGGCAGGAGCGCGCCGAAGGCTGTTAAAGGAAACCAAGGTTAGGATGCTGTGTTATTAAACAATTTTTTGTATTATTATTATCCACAAGTCTTAAACAATAAGATCGGTGTTGGCGGCGATGAATGATTTGTTTTTAAACCTGCCGCATCTACATGCGCTGAAAGAAAACAACAAAGTGGCCGGTCCAAGAGACTGAATGTGAAATAAAAGAGGCATGTTATAGAAGCAAACAATCGATTTACTGTTCAAATTTTCTAAATTGTTTCCAGCACCCTCTTAAGTAAAATAACCACATAATTAACATGGCTGGCGTTCGTGGCAATAATTTCATCGTCTGTGACATCTGTAAATTTCTAATATAATGTCTCACATGAAAAAGTAATAATGATAATCGCTGTTGACTGGATGGTAACTGATTTTCTCCAATGTTATATTTTCGGGGGACGAATTAAACCCAATGGAAAGAAGTATCAGCAATTTGCTTTTCGCAGTTAGTTTGAACTGCTGACTTAAGTGAGGGCAGTCAAAGGGATGGATGCCTTCATATTGACAGTGGACTGTGGGCATCAGTTCAAACTACGCCAGAACAGATGATATATCATGTGTTCTGACAGCTTCTTTTAAGAAAGCTGAATAATAGTATTTTTTAAACGTGTGAATTATGATGATACGCTGTCCAAGTGGTTAGTACAAACGATAGATTGCCTCAAAAAGTTGATTAGAACTCGAAGTAAAAAGGCTTAATTGATTTTTTTCATTAGAGCGGCCTACACAGGATTGTTAATGAGACCTTCCATGGGTGGCACCTCTGAAAACACTCTTTACATTACTCAAAACAAAAAAAAAATCTGCTTTTCCAAATACGTCTGTCTTTTGGATCCATAAACAGTTGCCTTTTCTCCATTTGTTGAAAGAAAAGCTCTGTATGATATACACCTGTCTGTAAGAATGGGCCAACATCTGAAAGCGAAAGTCGAGATCGTGCCGGTCTCTGCATTTAAAAGAACACCCTTTTCAGAAGCTTGAGCTGAAACCTTCATTAGACAGGTACAGCTATAGGCTCCAAGACCTTTAAAGATCGCGAGCTTTGTTTTCAAAAGGAAACTGTCTTTTGGGAAAATAAGACTGTTTGGACCAAAACAATTCCTTAACCAAACTGGTTCTAAAAAAAGCCTAAACTACGATCACCTACGCTGGGCAGTCCAGCTATCTGCAGGTCGTAGAGAAAGTACTGAAGTCAAGGACACAGCAGTCCCAGGGATGATAACTTGTACTTTATTACATTAGAGATTAGCTCGAGGGAAAAATAGGAATGATTACATTTCTTAAGAGAAAATGAATTTCAGCTGTGCAAGGTGTCAGCTCTTCAGCCCAGATAGTGAAAACCGACTGTATCTAAATGGAAGTCTTGTGGTTGGTTAAATAGCTGTGATCTAGCTTGAAGGCAAGGGAGCCATCTTCAGTTAACTATCAGATATACTGTACGTAATATACATTTTATTATACAAATGTATTTCAATCTCTTACACAGGAGTTCACAGAAGTGTGCGTCCAGTATGCAGGCTAACGGAATATTACACACTGTTATTGATGTGAGTGGCATATTTATGGTTTGCTTTGCAAGAGCTATTAAAACGATGCTGTTCATGCCAAAAGTTTAGAAAGTTTCTTGGTGCTCTTTCCCCTTTCTTTTTTAACACGGGCCACTGTTGGTCACTACCAGGACACGCGTCTGCGATCATGCAATGGCAGAAGACGCAAGTAGTCCCTGTCTGTGTTTGATCGTGACTCGGATATTTTTCGTACTGGGTGCATTGCACTGGTGCATTTCCCGGACGTGGAATATGCATCGCATGGCGTCCGAGTGACACCACAATTGTGACTGAATAATCACCCATCAAGCTAGAACAGTCCTGTGTCTTTCTACCGAATTTACAGGTAAATGACGGGTTTGGCGCCTCTCACCTGGTATCTGTCAGAGTGGTGGATGTCTTCAGATGACAGTGGAGAGGCAGTGGGAGACTCTCCTTCCCGTTTGATGTGCACTGATAACAGGATAGACTGCAGAGACACAAGGCAGACAGAAAGGGAAGCTTGTCAGCTGCTCGTGCATCAGCCGGCCTGCGATTTGCATGCAAGCGGGACAGGGAAGCCATTTCTAAACCCCAAAAAGGTGTTGTGGTCGATCAAGAACTTACGAAAATGCATCGGAAACATTACTAGAATCTACAACCTGAAGCCCTGCAATTCAGTAGTTATCACCCCTGTTATTAGAAAATAATCCTCTGTATTCCTAGGTTAATTACTTGTAGATGCCCTCAGCTTTATTAACTACATATTATGCCTTATATTAATTACCTGAAAATGCAACATCATAAAAACGTACATCTCATACTCATTTATTTCAACATAAGGCAGAGCTACTTTCTGCACACGCAGGCAGCTCATCGGCTGGACTAGTGCTCAAATCACCAAGTTCCATAGTTCACCATCGAGCCAGAGATTATCTTTCTGTGTGGCCGAGACCTGAAATATCTCGTTTTTCAAATGAACGAAGCCACGGAGGAGTCGCGGAGGGGGATACAGTTCGCAATACTGTAAGAGGCTCTTGTCTTAAGCGCGGCATTTTTATGGGCCGGCTATAAAATATTTGTATTTACAATCCAGCCCAATTAATCAAAGGAAGAAAAAAAAATGTTTTAGTGGCGCACAACTCTAATCTAATATTAATGTGTGAAAAATGGCGGGCCTCTTTTGCCGAGACAGTAAATTAAGTGTTATGCATTGCTTTTTATGCTTTAGGTTGGCAAGGTCATGAGCGATTTATTTATTTGTGTATGTGCGTGTGCGCACGGCGAGAAAGGCCCGCCTGTAGTTCTGTGAATAAAGAAGAAGTGTGCGTGTCCGGATGGGGCTGTGCGAGTGCGTTCATTTTTCCTTTTCTTAAAAAAAAAAAAAGATTACAAAGTGCGTGCTGGATTTTCTCCCGACTCCCAGAAACGGGAGAGGCAAACTGAAATCCAACGGGAGCGTTTCGTCAGAGCAGTCTGATTGAGACTACGTGTGCAATTTAAATAACAAGGACGATGAGGTGGTCAAACGTACAGTTGCGCTCTCTGTGCTTCCTGCGCGAACACGAGAGATTAGGGTTTACGGTGACAAGCCGGGAATTGTCATGGTAATGACCGCCAGGAATAGGTGGGGTTAATCCCACCAGGGCCAGTGTCGGGATCTCGGTCTACAGGCGAGCACGGCTCAGATTATTAAAACGTCCGGCTTCTAAATTGTACGGAAGCCACTTCAATTCTTAACGCTTCGCCAGCATGCTAAACAATCAGCTCGAGATGCTAAGTCACGCTTTAGCTGCTAATTCTCCAAACGATTCCTGTTAGACCGATGCGTTTCCAGCCCTTTGCTGTTTATCATATCGCCTGGACAGATTTCTTCCGTTTGCATAATAAATTCACACTGACCTAGAAACAGAGTCACCCCTTTGTTCCTGTTTTCGACTTTGTTTTTTTTTTTAAAAAAAGGTGCATTAAAATATCACTTGTAGGTTTAGCAGCCCTTGTGTGTCGCGGTCCTACCCCCGAGCCTCGTTTCGAAAGAGCAAGTGACTTTTCGCTGCACCCAATTTGAGTTCCCCCGTTCCCTTTCCAATGCCCCACCTCCCGGAAGAAGAGGCCCGCTTCTTTAGGGGTTAGGATGTTGCCCGGTGGCAGTTAAACTAAAAAAAAAAAATACTAATCATAATATTAAAGGATGACTTTTGAGTCATTTAGCTCATAAAAATTGGCCTTTACAAGGTAAAATTATCATCTGGAGAGACGGATCTTTAAGAAAATAATTCATGGCTTCTTCACCCTCTGAGAAGATAGCCGCCACTGGCTAATTTTCCTCTTAATGGCAGCAGGACCATCAATCTCCCTGCCTGTGCCATTTTGTCTCCCCTGCTCTCTGGGCCACACAGCCCTTTCCAGAGAAAACATTAGTGCTTCTCTTTAAACCTCTGCTGGGATCCTGGCAGGTCCTCAGCCCTTCCCTTTCTTTACATTTTTAATGAACAGCTAAGCAATCCTGGCCTCCTTAGCACCACTTTTTGTTGCACTTTTGGGAAACAGAAAATGTCGCGAAAAAAAAAAACAGAACAAACTGGGCCTCAAAATGCTAGCAGGCTAGCAGGCAAAATGCTAGCAAAAGGCCCGGAGAAGGAAGCAGAGGATTGCTTGTAAATTCGCAAAATCCTTCCGGGGCTTGAGTACCTGCTGGGCAGCAGCTCACTGAGTTACAGAGCCCCCCAAACCACTTAGCTCTCACAATGCAGGCTGAGCTGTCGGCAGGAGGTCTGTCTCCCGAGGGCCGAGAAAGACCTGACCCTACTTAACTTCCGAGATCTGACAAGATCAGAATCGCAGGTGGTACTGGAAGAGCAATAAATCCGTCCCCGCGCTCCTGCCTCCACGGAATGAATTGAAATTGCCAGGGAGCGGTAAATACTGTCAGCCTCCCCCTGCCTCTGCCCGCCACAGAACCGGGTGTCGTAAAGCAGGAAAGGCAAACGGAGACCAGGTTACTGACGTTGACATTTTGTTAACTGAATTCCTGCAAGAAACTGCCATTTGAGACTATTAAGTACTTCAGCTCTCCTTTCTCTCCCGGCTGCTGTCTGGCAGCATGGGGCCAGTTTACCTTTGTTTAGCTCTAGGCTTTAGGTTCTTGGGCTGACAGGCTGACAGCGGGATGAATAAAGCTCCTAGCGGGTCGATACCCTGCTGCCGTCCCGGTTTGAACTGCGGTGTCTAAACAGGATCTCTTCAAGCCTCCAGAGCCGCTGTTGTGACACCGTTTCAGATCACCTTTCTGAGAGCGGGGGGGGCTGCTGGGGGCGAGAAGCCCTCGTTAGAGTGAACTGCCGGAGCCTGTGCCAGAGCCTCCTCTCAATGTTGCGCCACTCTGGCACGGCGTGTGTTTCTTCCTGTGCCACAGGGCCCCGGGAGTGCAATAGGCAGGACGTGACTTTTCACCAGGCTGCGCCGCGCTGTTTGCATGTGTGAAATGAATGAGGTGTTGGGAACGTAGCGGAAGAGGCTGAATAACAACAGAGAAGTACAGAATAACGCTCGCAGCCTATAATCGTTTTTTTTTTTTTAATTTCAGGGCTGTTTCGCTCTGGGATCTTTCCGGGATTGAGCACAGTCAGAGGACGGGATCTGTCTCGGGCTGCGCAGGGCTGTCCGCTTACCTTAGGCGTGCCCGGAGTTACACAGTCCTTATGGGCTGGGTTTTTGCTGGAAATGAAAAACAAGAAACAAAATCAGAGAGAGGGAAGTCAGGGAACATAAGTGGAGTCGACAGTCACATAAAGCCCTCCAACCTCACATGCTTAGCACAGAAAAAAGAACAACAAATCACTTGAATTAAAATATGTATCTCTTTAATGATGAGGTCCCCAAGGAGAGAGGTGTGAAAACCAGATGGAGGGAACTATCGCTTTTACGAATCAGTCCTAAACCTGTCTACATTCTCCTCACAAGATGCTAATATGTGCTTGGAATAATGTGTGGTTGTGAAAAAAAAAAATGCATGATCAAAATCTCACAGTAAGGCATTTCTTATGGGAAGATCTGGTCAGTTTCTGACTCTGTGAACTCATCATACTGGGACTTGGTCTGACTGGGGTTGGGGCTGTATGTGCAATTCACTGTACGTCTGGAGGCATCGTCAGTCCCCGTCCCAGTCTCAACGGGCACCCCAGGGTGCTGCATCACCCAATCCCCCCCCCCCTCCCGCCCCCCACCTTCACGCCAGAGTCTGCTCAGATTGCAAGGCCGCCTCACTGGGTTTTCAAGGCAAACCCGGTGGAGAGACAGTTCCAGCGCATGTGGATGAAACAAAAAAATCGCAGATGTAATAACCTGCAGATTTAAAGCTTCCCCATCCCCTGCCCCTCCCTCTGTGCCACTCAATCCACCAACCCTTGGGCCAAGTTAAATTTGAAACAATTACTGTCCAAAGTAAGATTGCTAAGCAGATTTGGGATATAATTTTTTTATTGAAGTAATCATTCTCATGGAGCTTTCCCCCTTCCACTCAGAGCGAGTGGCATCAGGAAATAAATTATTTGCTTGTTATTTGATTTGTCAGCGAAACGCCCTAAGCATTTGGGACTTTGAAATATGTTAAGAGCAATGCGTTGGCTTGTAAACATTGTATTAAACTCAGGAGAGGAGGAGAGAGGGAGAAACAAAGAAAGATAGGGCTGTGCTTTCTCCCCAGGGCCTGTCCAACTTGGGCTAATGACATAAAATCACAACCACATCGACATTGCGGCTTTAAGATGACTGATTAGAAGCCAGAAAGTATTAAATGGGCTGGCTAAAGCGCCCGGCGACAATAGGGAGAGACATATCAAATCAGATCTCTTTTCCGAGACATTAATATCCCCCCTCCTTGCTTCCTCTCACACGCAGGCCCACATCTCCTTTCCCTCTGTGCTGCCGTACTGGGGACATCAATACATTTTTATGAGCCTCTGAAAAGATGAGCCGAGGCGAAGTGACAAAAAAAACAAGGCTCCTGTCATGTTCGCTTTGTGCCCTGCACACAGACCCGGATTCTGAGCCGCACAGGCAGGGCGCAGAAATTGAATTTGCCCAGATTTAATCCGCCAACGTGATTTGGCAGACACTCGGGTCCCAGGAGTTAAGGAAATGAGAGATGGGGGGGGGGGAGGGAGAGGGTGTGAGAGAGTTAAAAGGGAAAGGCGAGGCAGCTGAAAGACCCGAACCGAGGGAGAGAGGAAGACCCGGACGAGGAATAGATGGGAGAGATGGAGTTTGGGGCAGGGGAAGGAGGAGAGCGTACTGGAAAATGGGAAATGATTAAAGAACGGGAGGAATGCAACACAGCACGGAAAACGGAAAGAGAAAACCCAAGAATGAAAGAGGCACGTTGAAGACAGAATCTCCACATATCCAGCAAGCGCATTGACCAGTCGGAAGAAAGATATTAGTGCTTAATATACACATACACTTGCTGCTTGCATACACTTTTGCTGCTTAGAAAACGAAATGGTTTACATTTTTATTGGAAGTAACTGCACTGTCAAGAATGTAGGCCACAATGTGGGCCAAAATGAAGCATTTTTTCAGATGCAAGCAGTAACTCCCAGATGAGCAAGACGATGCAGGTTCTCAAAGATGTAACTCAGGTGCCCCAGAGCAGCCACATCCCTCCTGTGACCCCAGTTAATGCCGTTTTTCATTAAGAAGCAGTCTCTAATTAAGAATAAAGGTGGTGGCTGTGAAAGAAAAGGTTACCGACTGGACAGGCCCACCAATGGAAACGACCGTCTTGAGAAATGTGTTTTGCCGCACCGGCTCTCCTGAAGGTAGTCTAAGCTGCTCCTGAGGGTTTACAGCCCTGTGCTGTGCGATGCAGACTTGCACTTGCAGGACGTAAGTCACCCTCACTCCTGCCCCTCTCCTGGGGGCTGTGATTGATCTGACATGGCGGAGAGAGCCACACAAATCAGGGAGCCCTGAAAGAGGATAAATTCACAACATCACCAGCTCACTGTTTGTGAGATAATAAACACACTCCCCGCACCATAAATCCACTCTGTGACACAGTACATCCAGCCATCGAGTCTCTCTGTTACTGCTCAGGGGGGAGGTGGGGAGGGGGTCTGCCTTTAAACCACTGTAACTAATGCATTGTGTCATTAATCTGTACAAACAATGCCCCATGCTGAAGGTAGATGCAGGAGGATCTTTGCAGGATACTTGGGTTTTATTGCTCTTTCTTGGCTCAGAACAGATGAGGTTAATGGGTTAAGAAGAGTTAATGCCTACGTTTCTCACCTAACATCTGTCTGCGGTCTACATTCATAACTGGACTACCCAGTTCCAAATGTCATGGCTAGATATCAGCTAGACAGTGGCTCATTCTTTTTGAAAAGTTTCCTTTTCAAAAAGTCGGTGATTTAAAGATCAACCCGATCAGACAAGATGCTCCCGTTGACCTGCTGTGATAACGGTCAGGACAAATGGTTGCAGAATTAAATTCAAAATGAGTGGCCACAGCCGGGGGGTGAAAAAAACATTTTCGGAGATCGTCCAAAGTCACCACGGAGATTTGATTTCAACGTGGAGTAACGCACGCAGCCAGGTGACATAAAAAGTGTGGACATTTAGGACGGAAGAAGAAGGTGCAATGTGTTCGCAAGATGAATCTTCTGTTATTGTTAAGTGACGATCACAAAATTCAAAATGACAACTGTCCAAGGAAAGCAGACGACAGGCACAGTGCAGACAAAGAAGAGCCTTAAAATTGACAGAGAGACGCCACGTCGGAGACAGAGAGCGAAAACAATGAAAAACGGAGAAGAAGATCCAGATAAAGGCAGACAGAGGAGGCTGGGGTTGGGGGGGGGGTTTTGGGGAAACTCAGAGTGAGTCAGAAGAGAGTGGTGCACTGCTCACACGGGCCTGTTTTCACAGCTTTTCACTGTGCAGTTTCAATGAATTTTGATGTGTGTGCTTTGGCAAAAAGATGCCTGCCTGTCTTGTCGAGCCAATAAAACGATTTTGAAATGAGCGGACGACTGAGAGAAAGGAAACAGACAGACAAGAGCCGGGGAGAGCAGAGAGCCGGTGAGTGCCTCGGAGTTTAATTTAGTTTAGTTAATAAGATATTTAAACAGAAAAAAACTGCATTCCAACAAAGCCATGGTACCTTAGCACGAGCAAACCTGTTTAAAAAAGAAGAGTTTAAATCCAAACATTGCACTATCACAATCCTAAAAAAAACAGTTTCACTGAATGGCTTCTTCAGCTTTTGCAGATTTAAATAATACTGCCCGTGCTCTACCTCAGTTCAGTGATTTCCTTTTTTCTATTCACCCACCTGATTTTATACCCCTGACAAAGAAAGGCTCAATCAGTTCTGGATTTTACAGGTGTCAGGTCTACAAAATTCCCTTCTCCTTCGTTCTCAGGCTCAGGAGGCGCCCACCTCTAAAGCACACGGTGAGACCAACCTGTCACACGCGATGCGGCCTTTCTGCACACACTCCAGCGCGCTCACAGAGACGCCCACAGAGAAGTGACTTACTCAATCTCTGCTTTATGACGTCCTCAATTACAACGTTAAATGAGAAGAAAGAAAAATCAATTAGCTGGCAAATTTTTCCAATTAAAATTTGGGATAAATCACACAGATGTTATTAAGAAAAGGGCAAGCATGTTAATCTGTTCTCTCTCTCTCTCTCGCTCTCTCCCCCTCTCTCCTGGTCGGCGTACAGGGGATGAGAGGAGAAGGTGCTCGGTGGTTTTGCAATGGACAGCAGTTAATGTCTTGAGCCTGCCACAGCCTGTGCCCTTGAGCCTGTCATTGCGGTCCACTCCAGCTCCACCAGGCTGTCAGCCACAGGACAGCGGGGACCAAAAGAAAAAAAGTATCAAGCGGCCGGGCAGGTAGGTGGGGAGGACGAAGCACTTCGTCTTTATCAATCTAAAGGGAATTTCACCTGCTGCAGAGATCCACTGTCAGCAACAGGCCAGGCAGGCCTGCACACGAGACAGGGAGGTCGGCGGTGTGTATGTGCATGCCTGGGGAGAGGAAGGGGGCAATAGTGAGCTGAAGGAGGAGGACAGAGGAGGAAGGCCACAGAGGGAGAGTTTGATAGAAATAGGAGACGGCCATTTCTACAAAGCGTCATGGGAGGAAAGGCACTCTCCACATGTGTGGAGTGCTCGCCCCAGCCACTGCCTGTGCATACTGACACAGGCCACACACCTGCACTGCAGTGGCCGGCACCCCCGGTGTGCAAGATATTCTGCTACAGCGCCGACTGGCACTGCCCCTCTGTCTGCTGTCTTGAAGCACCCACCACTAGGGGGCGATGTCCTTGTGGATTTGGGTCGAACGTGGGGGCAGTCTAGTGGGACCAGCATCAACTCTTTGCAGGCTTACTGGTGACCAGTCTGCGCCTGAAAGGGCAGCGGTGGTGTGGATTTAGCTAACGAAGAGGGGCACGGAAGCGCATCGTCAAAGGAAACAAGCCCTTCAGGGATGGAAGACAAGCGACTGAGTCTGCAGGGGAAGGGACCACATCAGCTTCCAGGACACAGCCTGCCCCTATCCCTCTCTAAACAAGCAGCGAAACAATGACAGAAAAAAAACGAGAGTCAAAATTAAATAAACCGGGGCCCGAAAGCAGATAAAGATTGCTTTTTTTGTTGTTTGCCACCAAATTTTCCATCCCTCTGTTCAAGCCAAATTGATTATGCGGGGATATGTAGATTGCTCTGCCCTCTAAGCTGTTCCCTCTGCAGATTGATGTTTAAGGGCATGATAGATTTCAATTTACATACATGAGGAATGAACGCAGGGGAGGGAGAGAAGGGGAGAAAAAAAAAAAACAGGTGACATGTCGTAAGAGGGGCCTCCCGTGAAGCACAGCAGCCACAATCTCATATATATCCACTCAGCCCCCAGCAAAGCATCTGCCTAATGCTACATCTTAAATATCCTTTTCCATTTTACATGCATTCAAGTCTCATTTGGACAAAATGAAACGGTATTATTAAAGGGAGATTTCGCACAAATTGCCCCGAATTCGACATGTCACTTTCAATGAGGTTCTTACATATGTAATGCGGGTGGAACAGCCTGGCCTTATTGAGATGGCAGCAGAGGGCAGAAATGTGGTAATGGGGAAGGGATAGGAGGGTGTCAGGGGCGTGCTGTGCAGAGGCGCTTGTTTCAGTAGGGGGTGCTGTGAGCTTATAGTTCAAGCGCCTTGTTTCATTGACAACCACCCCAGCTTTCAGGCCGGTATGAGATCTATAGTTGCAGGTCTAGAGAACTCAGCACAGATCCTTTAGAACTCTGTCCTGCCTGCAACACTGTGGTTTGCTCATTAGTTGATTATAGCACATCAGGGGAAACGTTACAGCTCTTAGTACCCCAGTGTTGGAAGTACTGCACAATGCTGTTGTGTTTCTCTGAATGGATTGCCAGTCTTTTCTTTGTGAGTCGGACAGGTCTGATTGCTCACTTGGCTCACATTGCTACTCTGCTTTCTTCATCTGCACAACAGTTTATTTCTGTTCTACACTGATAAATGTATTTTGTAATAAATAAGTATACGTTCAGTCTCTTGTCAACACAATAAAGAATAAGGTGTGAGAGCATAGCACTGTCCCAGTTGATCTTTTTTACTATTAAAGACCCTATATAAAACGGCTGTTATTATCACATGATAATCAGAGCTCTCGAAAATAACCTGCTTTATAAGAACTGTGTAATTAAATACAAGCAGCATATTGCATCCTTTATTGAGGGCATTGGCCTTGATTACATCTATTGATTATTTTAACTTTTTACTTTATTCCACAATGCAACCCTAAGAAAATAAGGGGTACTTGTAACACTTTATAAAGAAAGGAAACATTTTATACACTGTCATGTACAAATGTATAAGGTAACCTGGTGGTTTCTCTTTCTCTTTCTTTTTTTAAATATATATTCTTTTAAAACATATTATTTTTTAACCTAATAAGAACCAGGTGTAAAGGCCTTTATCCACACTGCAGTGTCAAATGGCTTCAGCACAAGGTAAAAGAAGGCCTCACATACTGGCTTTGAACAAGGACAAACCCACAGGCACATCTAGCTCCTACGGCCTGCTGTTTCGTTAAATCAAGACGAACTGCTTGCCATCCTCCTCATAATTCAAAAGCCAACAGCAAAGGGGTTAATAGGAAAGGAACAGGCGAGCCTAAATCATGAAACCCTGACATGGACCAGTGTCCCCTACTGACAAATGAGGAAGAATGACGCTATCTCTTTAAATAACAGCAGTCGTTAAACAAAGACGACAGCACCTCTTGTCCACAAGTACTGACTAGAGGAGGGAAGGGAGGTAGGAAAGTGCCCTTTATTAATTATTAAATAATGACTCCCATTGCAGCATGATAGATACTACTCAATCTTGGCTCGCTCAGGCTACAGGCTAGGCTAATCTTCTGCACCAGCTCATTCTTTACAGGTGGCTTAGCGGATGGTGCTGCGAGGCTGTTGAGCTGGGAAAAAGGCACTGTCGACCCCTAGTTAAAGGGCAGGGGCAAGAAAGTAGCCTTCGGCCATAGCAGGTCCAGTCATCACAGCAAGGTGAGCTTGGAGACGTTTTGGGAGCAGAGAAAATGTTAGCTCATCACGATACATGGGCAGAGTGAGAAAGTGAACGCTGCTGCATAGGGCGTACCAAGTAAAATCGGTGCTTTTGTCTACTTCTTCTTTCCACAAGATCTCCTTGAAATACTGTGAGCACATGCTGACAGAGTGCAGTGTGAGACAACGTCTCACAGGCTCTCTCACATGAGCTCCCTCCCTGTCACAGAGTCACTGATCTAACACAGCCACCCCTGAGTGGACTACATTTTAAATCTGTCTTACTGTCAGCCCACTGGCCTACCTGTGTATCTCTTGCTTGATCTACTGTACATATCCATGCCTGACACTACTTACCTAGAGCTGGAAATTCCTATAATCTGCAGCCATGGGGTGATTTATGAGCAACCACCTCTTTTCTAACAGCTGCCTTTCTCTCTCTCTTCTTGTGTTCCAATGCACTGGGAAGCACGCTGGCCTTAGTAAAGTCAGTGAATTACTGACCCCACCCTATAATGTCTACTAAGAGATATTAGTTCATCCCTCTCTCTTCTCTTGCCCTCTCCCCTTCTCTTCTGCTCCCTCGTCCTCATCTATCCCTCTTTATATCCTCTTATTTGCTGCATATGTGTTGGAATAATAACCCAGTTTCACATCCGGAGGGTTTATTTACTCCACTTCTCTTTGCCTACAGTCAAAACACCAACCAGAGGTCACGAGTGGAAATAACATGGAAGTGCACTGAAAACCGAGGACAGGAGGCACTTTGTTATGCAAAAGCTACCCAGCCAAGCCAAAACCTGGGATTTTTTCAGGACACAGTTGGATGAGATCCTTGGATCAATTAGCCTACCAAAATGACCTGGATGGGCCCAATGGCCTCACATTTGTGAGCTTTCTTATTTTCTAATATCTGCACTGCTGCGTGCTCCATGTCGGCTGATTATTCTGCATGTCTCACAGCTCCCTCCCGCTACCTGATGTGGAGCTGGGTCAGCCTGTCCATCTCCTGCTCCATGTGGTCCTGGAGTTCTCCTGGCCGCAGCAGAACCTGGCAGATGGGACAGATAGGGGCCTGGCTGTCATACAGGGAGGTCTTCTTCTTGCCTGGGAAAAGGAAAACAAGGGAAGGACAGATGAAGCTGGGGTTTTGGTTTCCAGCAGAGACATACTGTATACTGCACGACCAAAATGGGTTCATACCAGAGTCACTAGTCCTGATCCTCACCAAAAAAGAGTTATGTTCAATATGCACATTTCAGAATGCTCAGAAAATATTACCACCTGCACGACAGGAGTTTAGATTATTCACCCAGCAACAAATCATACAGTAGAATGAATGTACTGTATATGCCGTTTGAGTAAATTAGATAGCGCAAGAAAACTAGGATGTAAATCAGCATGTAAACTACACGCTACATGTAAATCACCTGGCACACAAATACAACAGTATTCACAGGTGAGTACATTTAAAAAAAATACTCCTAAACTGCAGTATTTCAATTGCAACCCTTCTGAAAGTAAAGAGCTCCACTCCTCTGGGTAAGTACACTTTTTGCTTCCTTGTAACATGATGAAAGCTATATTACTACCTCAGTCGGCCGGCCTTGCGCGGCCAGTTCAAAACAAACGGAGCTGACCTCACAACGGTTTCAAAGGATTTCCAGATATAAAAAGCTGCCCTGCAGCAAAAATAAACATTTAGACTGCGACTCAAAGAGGAGACTTCCTGACCGGGCCTAATGTCTGTCCACACAGACTGCATCCGAGCTGGACTGAGCGGAAAGTCTATTTATAAAGATAGCTCCTTGGAGAAACAATGGGGCCCGCTCGCGTCTCGACTCCCAGGCAGGATATCCGGGATGGACGGGCCATCACCAGCACCACCGGGCCCACTCAGGGAACAACACCTCTCACCCGCATGAGGTCCACCCTTCACCCGCACACATCCAGACAGCGAGACATCGTGTTCCACCACCGCCCCCCCCCATCCTCTCACAGACACACCCTCTCGGCTAGCCCGTCTCCACGAGCAAAGCAATCCATCTCCCACTGCTTTCATCTTCAAGAAATTCTGGCGATGAGAAAGTACCGTGAAAGTTATTTTTAAATCCGCTATCTTTATTTTTAAATGGCACTCGAAATAATTATAACAGCAATTTGTTCAGGAGAGGTGCTCTCAGCATTAGCAACCATACTATTTAGTTACTTCTGACAGCTAAAGTGACTTTTCTTATAGAAATTTAGGTCGATGAGGACTGTTATAAACTGAGCAGCTAAAAAATATCCCTCTGCTTATGCATGTATGTTTTTAGAAAAACAAAATATGGGGATTTGGGATATTGATTAGATGTTTCTGTGGCATCATTAATTGATCATTCATAACTCAGCTGTGATGATAAATTCCAGTGACTTTAACTGCTGCACAAGCACTAAATCACCTCATTAGTGAGAGAGTGGATTGGGCACATGACAGGAGGCAATTTAACTTGTTGAATGTCAAGGCTGGTGACACCAACAGAAAGAAAAACACATAAAGGAAGCAATATTCCCTGTTTTTCAAGAGGCCAACATCTTCAAGACATTGGTAGGTTAGAGGCTGGGCTCCGTTAGCAGTAGCGCAAAAACCTCTATACTGATGAATCTAGATTTCAACCATCCTGATGGACATCAGCAAGTCTGGTGCAGAATAATACTCTGTGTACAGCAGACCAATTAGAGGGAGGTCAAAGTGTGATAGTTTGGACCGTGGTGTGTAGTTGCTACAGATCCCCACTTGTAGTGGCTGATGGTAACCTGACTTCACGGTGCTACACTGACCAAATCCTGGGACCTCACCTGCTGTCCTTCCTACAGACTCATCCTGACATGATGGCATTCCAGCAGGACAAGGACACATGTCCTCCTGCTGCTCATGTTACACGTGCTTTCTTGCTGCAAGATACACTTGTTGTGCCACAATGAACATCTGTGGGTCTGAGTTAGGATGAAGAGAAATGTAGATCTCAGAGGCCAAGATCAGTCACATGCTTGTTTAAGGTCTATGAGAGGAATGGGACAGACAATCCCATGAGACAGAATCCATATTCTGCAAAGAATGCATCGTAGATGCACATCATGTATTGCTGCCAGTGGTAAACATACACACTACAACCCTGTGACTTTCACAGTGGAGCCCCATTGATAAAGTCCATTAATGAAACAGGTCAATCAGTACAAACACTCTATTTCAACCTTAATAAAACATTGGTGTCTCATCTACAAACATAATTTGTTTTATGTTCCTAAATACTGTGGACATTTTTCACGGTTATAAGTGATACGTTTCTTTTGGGGTTGACATAAGCCAACCAAAAATGGCTTATTCTTTCTACCGAAGTCTACACATCATAGCTCAGATAACTCAGCTAACTCCTTATCTGAATTATAACTCAGACACAGCTTTTGCCAAAACAGATGTCCTTGCATTTTGTGTGCGAAGCCACATCAGATCATCCAAGAGCAGAACAGGGGAACAGGTGTTGTTCAACAGGTGTGCTTCAGGAGGAACTGGGGTATCTGGACATCCACTTCGACCAATGGGTCATACAGCATCATCAACCACACTAAAGCTTCAGTTTTCTCAAAGGCAATGAGAATTTCAGTTCAGAATAGTCATTCCTAAGAACACGGACTGAACTGTAGTGCTTAGTCCACCTGGCCTCCTGAACAAGCAACATCCTGTTTTGCCTGGAAGTGCCTCTATCAAACACTGCCCAGGCTTGGCCCTGCCTGTGAGGCGTAATACGATCACAGCCGACATCTTCCCAAAGCCCAGAAGTCACAGAGCACAGAGATAACCCCTGGTGATAAATTCCTGGGCTCTATGTGGCTGTGTCCTTGACTTGGAGGGCAGTGGTCTGTTTGCTGTTTGGTTAGTGATGTACTGATGTGCCTATAATTTGAGAGGGTGATGGATCAGCAGTGCACCCCTCCTCCCATCCACCCCCCCCCCCCATTTTAACAAACGCGCATAAACATATACACACATATACAGAGACCCCTCCTGGGGCACATACCGCTGTGCAGATATTGGCCTGTCAGAAGTATTTCCTGCGAGAGAACAGATTCATCAGCACTGAGTTGGCGAGGTCAATGTTAGCTCTTCCCCCCCTCCTCTGTTCCTCAGTCCCCAGCCCCTCCACCCCCCCTCCAACCTCACAGGCAAGCGTGCCTCTGCATACCCAACTCCCATTCCTCTGCACTGCCACTTAACAACCCAACAGCCCGCCACACTGGACACTTTAAGTGACTTTGAGAAATGGGTAATCGATTACAATCTGTGTGTCTCCATCGCTCCCTTCTCCCTCTCTCTCTCCCTCTCCCTCCACCTGTGTTTCCCTTTACTATTTAATTCTTCTTCCCTCTCTTCTCTCCCTCTCTCACTCCTCCTGCCTTTCTCCCCCTGTTTGCATCCCGGCCTTTAGCCTGTCTTCTCTTCGTCTGTCCTGCCCCCTTTCTCCTGTCACCCCCTTCCCTTCCAGTTCAGCTCGGCAGGCCTGCGCTGACGTGACAAGATAATTGAAGCTGTGCCAAAGCAATTACAGGCGGCGTCTGTAAACAAAGATACGTAACGCGGAGAAAAATACGGCCTCGCGGCAAAGCCAGGTTGCTCAGGCACGGCGCTTTTCTAGAATTTGTTTCCACGTCTGAGACGCTTCGGGGAGATCGTGTCACTGTTGCGGCTCGTCCGCTTTTCAAGCTGTCTGGTTCGCGTGGGTCCCTCATTACCGCAGCACATTTATTCCAGTCGTGTCCGAGGGCACTGCGAGACCAACAGACTGCACCTTCTGCCGCACATTAACTCTCAGGAGCTCAGGAGCCGGTGATCAGGAGTGCACTGGTATTTAATTCACCGGTACACAATCGATGGGCACAGTAATCAGGTCCTGATCACTCCATTGCGCCTGTGTTGGCTCGCCGCCCTTCCTCATCACCCGTACGGTACGCTGGTGGCCCCTCCCGCCCTTTCCCCTTGAGAGCGAGGGCACGCAAGAACGTCTTGTCCACCAGACCCCCCTCCCCGGGTCATCCTCCAGATTTTCACTCCCGCCTGTGAGCAGATCTCGCCACATCTGACCATCTTGCTGATACAAAACAACGCTCCCTCTCTCTGCCCCATTCCCCGCGCACCAAAACAAAACAAGCTGCCGAGGAGTAATTAATATTTAATTCACTACTAAATGTACTGATTATTTCCAAGTAATTGGCTGTCTGCACAGCTGTGGCCACTAATGAATACAGGAGAGGAGGGGCTGAGGAGGGGGGGTCTCTACTGATCCACCTCCAGTCACAGGAGACTCAGCACACACCCACTGGTGAGGGCACCCACAGGGCTCCTCAAACCCGGTGGATCAGTGTACGAACTCGGCAAAAACGCCAGCGAGCACGCTTTTCGATGCTCTCGCTTGTTGGACTTGCAGCGAATACAAGTGATTGGGCTCTCCCACAGGCAAGAGGAAAGTGCATTTCCTTCCACAGTGTCCCCTAAGTTGGAGTTGGACAAGAACCCTTTTGAGAAGTATTGATTGAATTAATTTGACCTTAAAAGCTGCATTTGACAAACTTAGCAGTGTATTTTTATGCATGGATTAAAACAAACCCCAAAACGGAATCATTAATAAATGAAGAATGAATTAATCTGGAGCTCGACTTTACCATCCGCAGTCTGTTAATTGCGTCAACACTTCGTTCCTATTGTCAATTGTGCAAGGAAATGGCATCCAAATGAACATTTTGATTTATTTCAGTACAGTACAGAAGGACCCCAATATCCAACACTTTCCCTGAACCTAAACTCATTGGGCACTGGGGATGACGTCAAATGGCATTTTTACAGATTAAGACAATGGAAAACCAAGATGATTAAACAGGATTCTCTTTACCTCAGTCAAGTACCAATGCAGGATTGTCACTAACAGCATTCTGTAGAAGATTCTAGCAGGGGAGCAGCTACCCATATACATGACTTTAATTTTACTGTCTTACTGTAAACATACTTAGATTTCATCTGCTTCTGCATCTATAAACTTTAATATGCTTAGCCCTGAGTTTTATAGCGTTATGTT